TTCCGCCGGTACTATTCGAAACTGCACCCCACGTACCTTCGCCTATTCGATTACCTTATATATATTTATATACCCCCCCCCCCCCCCCCCCCCCAAAACGAACGATAGCTGCTCATCACCTCTACCTCCCCCATCTCGTACACGATCGACCGTATCTTGGATCGTCCGCATTCCATAAATATACTATAACGCGCCTTGTTAATCTAGCAACCGATGTCCTATACTCTTATATTAGCTTTAGGGATAAATACCGAACTCCAAGCGGCTTAGACAATCGGAAATACACGCGTGCCGACGCGTCTTTGTTTTCACTCTTCACCTACTTATGCGCCCGCCCGGAAGCTTTAGGAGGAACGAGAACCGGCAAGCTCGTAGATACCTGTAAACTCGCAAGTTTTATGAGCCATTGTCACGCGATGACTTCTTTACGCGTTTCTTAGAGACAACCCCTTTCGAATTCGCAACCCGGTGTTGGACATCTAATTCCTGAACACCCAGCATGACGATACTCCAGGTCACGCCTACCTCTTCGGAATTCCTCCAAAACGTCGCCGACTCCCTCGGGAAAGCTAAACGAGTTGTCGTAATTACTGGTGCTGGCATAAGTACTAATTCTGGTATTCCGGTGCGATTTTATCCTCTCGAGGCCCCGAGACATCAATGCACTAATTAGCCGTGTAGGATTTTCGCTCAGAAAACGGGCTCTATTCACTCATTCAGGCCCAATTTGAACGAGCAGAGGCCGGCAATGGTAAAGTTGGCGAAGGGCAGGCTGTTGACTTTGCTATAAACGGACGCCCAACGAAAAGAAGGAGAATATCACATACGATTGAAAGGATAACGGAGCAGCGTGGGCCTACCCGAGCGCCCGATGTCTCAGACAGCCGCGGAGGCCAGGTCCAAGCAAAGACGCTAGATAACGGCGCTCGGGGGAATGTGGAAACTTCTATTCGATTTCCGAGAGATAACCTTGTCAAAAAAGAAGCAGTGGCTTCCGACACATCGTTACAGCGTCTTACTAGGTCACAAACTGGATTACGGCCGCCATTAACTCGACTCGCCTCACAATATTCTATGCAATCGTCTGCATCTCAGGAGTCATTATTTACGAGCTCTCGACTTTCAGAAAGCTCGTCCCAGACAGAGGACTCGGTCCTCTGCGCTGGACAAGCTTCTCATAATGTCCCGACGAGAGATATTCTTCCAAGAGCTATTTTGGGCAAAGCATTTAGCTCATCTCCTCTTTCTTCGCCGCCGCCTATTCTATTTGACCCCTACGAAAATGTAAATTCATCTACTGATGGTAGTTCCCGAGAAAGTGCAGAAAATTCCGAGGTCTCTGATACGGAAGACACGCATAATTCCTTGGACCTTCTGTCTTCCCAAACCTCGAATTCCAGCCTGCGTAATATGAAAGGTCGAGATTTATTCGACTGTAATATATGGGCAGATCCGCTAAAAACATCCGTATTCTATCGATTTGCTACGACGCTACGGCAAAGGGTCAAGGAAGTCGAGCCAACCACAACTCACCGATTTATTGCACAACTCCGCGACGTCGGGAAGCTTGCAAGAGTATATACCCAGAATATCGACGAAATTGAGAAGAAAATCGGTCTTTCTACAGACCTGAAAAGCGGTGCAGGTAACCGAAGGAGGAAGTCTGCTAAACAACAACTAGCAGATTGGGAAAAAGATTACAAGGAGAACTTGGAGGCGCCAAAGGACGAGGACGATCCTAGTACGGAAATCGTACAAGCCTCACAGTGTTCTGAGACTTCTGGCCGAAACAATACCCGTTCTATCCTAGCACAGGACAGAGGCGTCGAATGTGTGTTTCTCCATGGCTCTTTGCATGCTCTCCGCTGCTTTGTATGTGGGAAACTCTGCGACTGGGATGAAGATGGCCGGGAATCTTGCACATTGTCGGGTGAACAGCCCGAATGTCCCCATTGCGCAGGGGCAACCGCCGCACGCCAGGAAAAGGGAAAGAGGGCTCTAGGCATCGGCAAGCTTAGGCCAGATATCGTCCTCTATGGAGAAGAGCATCCGCAGTCCGACCTAATATCTCCCATTGTGCAGCATGATCTTTCCGTTGGTCCCGATCTCCTCTTAATATTAGGGACTAGTCTTAGGGTACACGGTCTAAAGGTGATGGTCAAAGAATTTGCTAAAGCTGTGCATAACAAGGGTGGCAAGGTCATCTTTATCAACCTGACGAGGCCATCTGATAGTGTCTGGGGCGACATCATCGATTACTGGATCGACTGGGATTGTGATGCTTGGGTTGACGATTTAAAAGGTAGAAAGCCGCACCTATGGTTATCTCCCGACGAGATTTTGCAATCCGAAAAACAAAAACGCGATGCTTTAGCCGAGAAGAAGAGAGAGACGGTATCGAAGAAGCGCGAAAGCTTGGGTGAGAAGAGGCGCCACACTATCGAATTTACCAAACCTCGGCCACCTCCAAAAAATCCTTCTTCTATGAGAAATGATTATCAATGCGGCGCATATGTAGTTTGGGAGATCTTCCAAACTTTGGCTAAGATTGGTGGCCGTCCTTTCGATAATCTTGGATACACACCTCCTTATCGACCTCTGTCGGTTGCCCCCCCTCCTATTCCAAACCCCGCTTCCGTAGCTCAGTCTACCACACGGGCAACCAAGACAAAGAGATCGAGGAAGTCTGCACCAGCAGCCTTGGTCGCCTCGGTCGCCTCGACTGAACTGGGGACCGGCCCACAGACAAAGTCTGAACTTCCTGCCAGAGCTAAATTCTTGGCTAATTGCAATAGCCGGAAGCAATACGCAAAGGCTGCCCAAGAGCTCGCGCGCTCTGGTAAATCCCCTACCCCGGTTAGATTGGCAGAATTAAACCGCAGCGCAACGCCCTATGAAAATAGCATGACGCCTCCGTATAATCCGCCCAGTTCTATCACCGCTGCTGTCAAGCTCCATCCTCGTCGGCGGAAACGAAAGATGATTGAAGGGATTCCGGTCGGTCTAACGGTTTCGAGGGTTAAGAAACCCGCGCGTCCGCCTCCCACGCCAGGCCAAGACCACAAAGAAAAAACTAGTGTTGAAACTGGATTAGTTTCTCCGACAACCTGTAGGTCGTTCCCTCCGAAAGGCCCGATTTTACCTCCTTTCCACCCTGGGTGGGAGCGTTCTCCTCCCGCAAGAATAAAGCCTCTGGAACCGAGTTTGAACGTGTCACCGCGGAGTCCGCTATCTGACCTGCCACCAATAGCGCGACCCCAAATTTTTGCCATAAGACATGCGTCACGCCCTATGTTATTTAGTGACCCGCTTGTCAAATTACGATACGAGACAACGAATTATAGGAAACCGGCCAAGGAATCCAGCGTAGGTGCTTGCGATAAGCCACCTAGCCCGTCAGACCAGCTTCGATGGGAATTGGCCCAGCAGGAAGCCATCGAAGGAGCCCAGGTACTCGAAGGACTAAAATATTCGAGATAAAGTGTATCCCTTTCCGGGCTAAATGTGTAGTAGAATATCCGACATATTAAGCATACCTCTTAAAGCCTTTGAAATGAGTAGGTACCTAAATGAAAGAGGTCCTATACCCTACACGTTTTGTCCTTACTGAATTTCCTATGAGCTTAATATAGCATGTAGCATACACTTTTAGATGCTCGCTTTACTTAAACAATTGTTCTCGATCTTGTTACCTTCGATGACAATCAAAAGTTTTATATCCATCAACTACTGGGGGCTAAATCCGAAAGGCTGGCAATCGGTGTAAGCCCTGTCAAATATTGATTTTGATCACTCAAATACCAGTTACAGAACTCTTGTTCTGACATTGCCCAAAATATGATGATACGCCAGTTCTACCAAAGAGTAGCAGAACATTTCTATAGATTTCCGAAACAAATTACAGACAGTTAACCCTAATGGCAAAGGAAGCCTCTAAAAACACAACTAGGTAGCTAATTCGCTCGGTCTCTAACGACGCAGTGGTTGCCGTTGTGGGTTTGTTAATCCACGTCTTCTCCGCCTCTATCTGATTATACACACTCATCGTTGCCTTTCGCAGTGCCAGCCGCCCAAGAGGAATTAGGAGAGTCACAATACGCTACTCGAGCTTGCTCGGAAAAGAAAAAGAAAATTAAATAAAACAACAAGGTCCCACTACTGCTGAGCGGGATCGATCCTAGGAGTGTCGACTACGGACCAGGAGGAGGGGGCGGGTAGTTGGGTGGAGTTGAGGTGTCAGAACGGTGGTCATCTTCAAAACCTGTAGCGCGGGCCTCTCTAAATGGTTGTGTTGTTTCGAACAATCTATCCTTTGGCTCCTGCAACCTCTGGGCATCCTGGATGCCGCGTTGGTAGTCGTAATTTATAGCATCAGCCGTTGTGATTAAAGAATTTGCGAACGGACTAGGGAAAATGGTCGGCAGGTTCCCGGCTCTCTCCCCAATATCTTTTCCCACGAAGACGGTGTCTCCCTTATTCATGAAAGCCCCTCCTGTTCCGAACGAGCCTAGCGGAGTCGTATTTTGGCTGGCTGACGTTTGCGCTGCGGCCTCCTGGAGGGCGTCCAGACTGTTCATCTTCTGCGCGGAGAAGAGAAACTTGGCACCGTCCCGATCCTTGTTCCAATGTCCAAAGCCCTTGTGCGACGGGCGCCGGTTTTTTTGTATCCCGCCACTCGTTGCACCCAAAGAACCACCATCTCGCGATGGCCCGCCACTTGTGTCTAAGCTCGTTAGATTAAGCCTCCGAGGCGCGCGTGTTCCGATTACTTTTGGGTCTCGCGGTACTCCAAACACATCTTTTATTGTTTCCTTGGTGGTAGGAGGAAGCCCTAGGTCAGGTATTTTGGTGACGACGTCGGCAGTGCTAGGCGACGGTTGCGGCGTGAAACCGTAGCCTTTGGGCAGTACAGGCTCGCGTACTGGACGGGGGGCGGTCCAGTTATAGACCCGATCCTGTACAGGCTGGGGGTGGCCCAGGCTCGTCACATTTATATTTTCTTTCAAGCTGTCCATGTTGTGCTGGATTTTGTTGAACGAAGGGGGCCTTCCCTCTGTTCCTTGTACGCGGTCCATGATGATTTCGCATTCATCGAAAACGTGACGGACTCTTGGGTCTGCCTGAACGTATACTCTATGCGCCAGCACCCGCATTCGATCCAGGCGGTTTTTCCAGTAGGATGAGGGTATTGTTGCAAAACGTCTTTTCCAGCTCATGTCGTCCGGCTGCCACTGGTCCGGATTCCCCAGCATATCTAGGAGGTCCAAGCAAGCCAAATGACAAGAGCGGTAGCGGGTTTCCCAGGAGGACCACTCGTACTGGACACGATCATGACCCGCCGACAGATTAGACAAGAGATTCAATGTCGTTATAAAATGCGAGAGCCATCCATTGACTTCTTGAATATGCCGGTATATTACCCCGACAGGACCTTGGTCGGCACCGCCGTTGTTCGTATAAATATTGGCCCGGGCATTAAAATTCAAGCTGAGGAAGTCCAAGACCATACGCTGCAGGTATGAGATGTCTTTCATGACAGCTCTATATGTTGCGGACACTTCCCGCATTATAAGCGTACCTTCACTAAAGTACCTATCCCAGTCTCTGTCTACCAGTGCTATCCACTGGTAGAAATCCATTGTTACGGTATCAACAGCACCAAGGATATTACGGTTTTGTCGGTATATGTACTCGTAGAATCTGCCGTTGTGGTCCAAAGACAGTACGCGGTTGATCTCGAAAGCATTCTCTACCGTATCGTTCAGCTTTTTGATATTAACATGCAAGGACATGATGACATGGAAGTCCCAATGTCTAGAATCATACTCCCAACGGAGCGCATATATACTAGGCAGTATTATGCTCCACGCCCTTCGTTTTAGGTACTCGGCTAGTATGTTGTAGTTGTTCTTCCCTAACGTCCGGTATACAAAGGATATGAACCACCATTCGGCCTGGCCGTACGCCTGCTCGCCCATGGATCCATTTATCCAAGTAGGTTCCATCGAAGTCTTGAGCAGACGATCCCTGGAGCTCAGCTTCAGGGCTTCGGGGCCCCATACTGGGTAGATATTGGTCCAGAAGGACTGTGTGAAAAACTGAGCCATAAAATCAATAGGGATCGGGTGAGTGTAATTCTCAGTGGGATACTCTAACTCCTCGATCGGTCCTATGTAGTCATACCCTATCGGAGGGGGGTGTCTAGCAACAGGCCACGGATTGGACTCTGCTAATAACGGCAGGGCGGCTATCTGCCGGGAAGGCTGAATAAACGTACCAGCCACCATACTGTTGGTGAGAATGCCCCAGACCGCCTTCTCGAGATCAAACCCGACCTCGGCCGCACCCATACCCTCCCAGAAAGGGTCCCCTCCGCTCTCGTCCACGTCCCAAAGAACAGTCCCTAGTTGACCGAGGAGGTTTACGACTAACCCGGATTGGCCTGGAACGTATGCCCAGTACGGATCGGTCGTTAGCAAGTAGTGGGCGCAGTTGACGGCGTGCTAAAGATACGCAAAAGCAGCGCGGTTCAGATCAGTAAATATACCTCAACTAATTTGCAGCAATTCAAAAAACAGAAATGGAGATGTTTGAGGAGTCGAAATGGTGTTAAAAAGATAAAGGGGGGTATGATGCTATCTTACAGCGAACTCGTGCATCAACGTCGACGCAATCAGGAAGGACGCTGTCATCTTCTCGCTTTGGCTATACTGGGGCACCAGCAACGGCCATATCAACTCCGCCGCTATCCAGATTTGTATTCTCGCATTCGAGCCGCGACCGCTCGGCTGTGTGATGCCGTAAGTTAGGACATTCGTCTCCCTTACTCCGTCAACAGCATTGTTATCATCGACCTCTATGGGATCAAACCACGCGCTGCTAATCTCGAAAGTGAGGCACTCGGAGAGGACCCTCCACGTGTGGTGGAGGAAATCGTATCCCATATTACTCAGTTCTATCATCTCCGGCCACGAGTTCTCCAAGTCCAACTTCATCTCGCTCAAGGGCCTGTACCCCACGAGCGTCGGCGTCCTAGGATTTTCCCGGTCGGCAGTTATATCTGGTGAAATCTTGTACCGAGTCCTGAGATCTATTAGATCGTGCAGCCCAGGGTGCTCGCTGTTGAGAAGCCGGGTCAATAATTGCAACGCGGGTTGCATCGCATTCCACAGGTCGTCGTTTGTCCTCTAGCAAATAAGTTATATATACGTTAGCCACTCCCAACAACCAATTCCTATCTCGTCATGCCCGTTCATGCCATCTCGGCTCGTGCTCGAGAAAAGGAACGGAGGGAAAACTCACCATATCCCACTCCGCTCTTATACCGTTAATGTTATACAATAATCGAGGATCGAACCTCTCAGCCCCTTTAGCTGAAGTATCTGACCACCTGTGTCTCTCAAGAAGACTAGAATAATCGAGGGCAATTAGCAGGTGTTCTAACTGATAGAGCAACGTATTACCGCCATATCTTGAGGCTCGCCCGGTACTTACTAATGGAGCGGTCCTGCAAGATCGCATTCTACGTCATTGGACTGCGTATGAATATTGTTATATACCAGCTCGTCGGACGTCAAATCGTGGAAAATGATCCGTTGGTAATCTTGGTCGTCCAAGGCCTTCTGGAAATACGTTCGGTGCGCCTCTAATATATGCGGGAAATTCGCTCGGAGATCGTCTACGAACTCTTCCAGGGTGGTGGGAGGCTGTACTTGTAGGTTCAAGGGGACGTGATCGTTGGTTAGATAAGACATCATCTTTGCCCGCAGCTGTGCGCCCGTCATCCTCTGTTCCGCATTCATCAAGTTCTCCAAGGCGTCCCTGTCTATATAACCCGGAGGAGGTGCGGGTTTCCCTGCCTTCGCGGCCGCTTCCTGCGTCTCCTGGGATAGTTTATGCCTAGCTTCGTCCGAAAGCAAGTTCAGCTGGTTCGCGTAGTCCTCCCACGGATCGCGGGTGGCAGACAAGGTTGGGCTCAGACGACTCCGACCATTTAGTTCTCCTGGGTAGATGCCGAACCGTTTCGCCCACTCCGTCGGCTGTCTTATAACGTCCTCGGGTCGCAGCGCCGGGAACAGCCTCGCAATCGGATCTCTGGAGCCCAGGGTGCGGAATCCCTTAGTATAGGATACGATGAAGTCCGGGTCGAACTCAGGGTGCGACCACTCGGGGATATACCACGTATAATTCCACGATCCGCTGCCGGGAGGCTTCGGTACCTTCCCCACGGGCGCTACCCGAGCGTCGCGCCGCCGCCATTCTTGGGGCGAACCGCCTATTTGATCGCCATCGTCGGGCGGAAACACGACGCTGACGCCATTAACGGCTATATTCCCTTCGACTAGTGCTTCGAAAAACGGCTGCCAGTCCCAGTGATGTCCACTAGGTAATCTGTTTCTATACGACTCCAGCCACGCCGCTGCTAGTCCTTGAACAGTCTCCCCAGGGTTTAGCACCGGAGCGCGAGGTCCCCTTGCGGTTTTAGGCGTAAAAAAACCGCTCTCGTCGGCCATGGGGTCTGTATTCGTCCTTTTTCCCTAACTAAGATATGATAATGCTGGTGTTTCTCACCAACCGTCGTATATATATAAGGCACACACGTAATACGTATGTAGATGCCAGATATATAAGTGTGTCCCTGTGAATCTACCTATTGGATGTAGTTATTGCTCTCTCTCTCTCTCTCTCTCTCTTTCTCTTTCTCTTTCTTTTTATCACCGCGCCGGTATCATTCTATGTTGCTAGGGCCTATCGTTCTAGATTACAAAATACTAATAGTAAGACAAGGTAAGTTTACTATGTTGTCCCTTCAAGTTGGGAGCTTTTTCCCCTTCTTTTCCCATCTCTTGATGCACAATCAGAAAGTCTTTGTAGACACATCCATACCTCTTGTCTTACCGTTCTCGGAAAGTTAACCACAGGTACGAACGAGACAAAGGTCACCACAAAGAACGTCTCACATTGGCAACATTGCATTTTGCCCCGGATCCGATGCTTTTCTAAAAGAATGCATATTGTTAAAGCTGAAAATGAATCGCAGAAAGCACGTCGGTAGGAAATGGTGGAAAGGTTGGTTTCTCCAACGAAGGCTTTAACCTCGCAAAGTTATGATTATATGCTATAGTTACCTCCTATGTACTGTATTATAGTTAGACCAGAGACATATTATCGCCGGATCTAGTTATCAATCTATAGATAGAATCAACATGCATCTCATGCTATGGCCCGTCCCTTACTTAGTATGCAGAGCAGCCCATTGGAAAACGAAGTACACATACCTAATCAGGATACAACCTCACAACAGCATATTTAGCTTAGGCTAGGTTAGGTACTTATTAATTATAGGCACGAAGAAAGATTATAAAACTCTAGATCAAATCTATTCAGCCACCTGCTTATCTACCTAATCTATGGTATCCTCGCAGTTATGAATTCGAAAGGCTAACCCCTAGGCCTCCAATCCAGTGGCACCATGCCCTTTCTACTTCATCCTGCTCGACCATGCGATGAAACGCCCCCCGTAGTTGTAATAAGTATTCGACAACCTCGGCGCGCAAGAAACAGAGATAATGCCTAACCATGCAAACCCGAACTTTTCTGTTCATATCAGACAAAGGAAAAAAAAGGGGGATCATATTCGTGAATCAGAAGTAAGTCGTAAGGATACGTGTCTGTGAGAACAGTAGTATAACGTCTACTCATCCTCATCGGAGAAGACCTCCTCACCACGCTTTCGGCGGGCCATACGCTCTGTAATATCATTAATAACTATTTTTAAAAACTTGACACATTACCGAGACTGGGATGTTGCACTTACCCTTCTTCTTCTTTCGGGCTTCGGAGCTAGTTAACTTAGCCTTCTTCTTCGTCGACACGATCTTATTACCCATGGCGTCGAATTTCTCCTCTTCGTCATCATCGCCTTGCTTTAGCCTAGGGCCGGAACCTTGACCTTGGACCCAGTTGTGGCCTGAAGGCGTCATCTTACCATCCATGACAGCCCAAACCTCTTCAGTCAAATCCCTGGTGAACTCAGAACTGTGAGTGATGATGATAACGCCACCTTCGAACTTCTTGAGAGCCTTAGACAGAGCTCCCAGGGAGTCACGGTCGAGATAGTTGGTAGGTTCGTCAAGAACGATTAAGTGAGGTCGTTGCCATGAGCAAGCAGCAAGGACAACCTTAACACGCTGACCACCGGAGAGACCGCGCATACGCGAGTGGGAAACAAGTTCGGCGTCAAGACCGAAGTTGGCACAGTGAGACTCGATCTCCTTTCGAACTAGAGGTCGGAATTGACCGGAAGCCAGGGCTTCCCTCATATCGACTTCGGCGACCATCTTCTGGTGAGAAGCGAGAAGTTCACTTCGCGGTAGCCAAGCATTGTCGGCGGTCATCATAGGAACCCAACGCTCGTTCTTCATGCCTATATTCTCTCCAAGGGCAAACGAACACTCGTACTCGTAGCTGTTCTTGAACTTTCTGCGGCTGTGGATACCGATGATACGACGTTGCGAACCTTCGATCTTGAAAATCTTGTCCATAGCCTTCTCATCTTCTTCAGTGATGATCTTGTTGGCACGGTCCATGGTTTCACGATCCTCACCAGTCTGGAATCGCCATTGGATGTATTCGGAAGGAGTCTTGTCGAGATGGTTATCGATGTGGGCGAATGCGTGCTGCTTGATGTAGGCGATACGGATGTTCTCGTGCTGGTAGATCTCACCGGCAGTGGGGATCAATTCACCAGTGAGCACGTTGATAAGGGTTGACTTTCCAGCACCGTTGGGACCAATGACCGCAATACGGGAACCAAGCGAGCACTGGAACGAGATGTCGGTAATCTGAGGCTTGGGGGTACCAGGGTACTGAAAGCTCATCTTGTTGGCACGCAGAATGGCCTTAGCCTTGGTCTTGACGCCTTCTAAGAAACCGGGCTCAGGGAAAGTGAACTCGAGCTCGGATTCTCCAAGCTCATAGTATGACTTGGCATGGGGGTTCTTGCGGACGAATTCCTTTAGGTTACCCTTGTATCTCTTGAGCTTGAATCGCTCGTAGTGGATAATGTACTGAGTGACGTTATCCAAGAAACTGCTGTCGTGGGAGACGATAATAGAAGTGCAGGGGGAGTTAATCAAGTAATCCTCGAGCCATTTGACGTTCTGCACGTCGAGATGGTTGGTAGGTTCGTCGAGCAGCAGGATATCCGGGGCTTCGAAGACGGCACGGCACAAGGCCAACTTCATCTTCCAACCACCAGACAGAGCAGTGATTTCACCCGAAGTCATTTGCGGTGTGAAACCGAACTCTTCGAGGCGCTTCTCGACGTCTTCCCGGCTAGTTTCAACCTTAGCCTCAGCCAGCTTCTTCATAGTCCAGTCAATGGTAGTCATTTCAGTGTCGGCGGAATCCAGATCGTGCTCAACGAAGACAGTCTTGACTTCGCTCTGCTTGGGGAAACCTTCGACTTGCTCATTGTTGATAGCACGCATAAGGGTAGATTTACCGGATCCGTTGGGACCGCAAAGACCGTAACGACGGCCACGCTTGAGACGTAGGTGGGTCTGGTTAAGAAGGATCTTGGCACCGTAGGCAAGGGAGAAGGTACAGTTGCAGAGATCCTCACCCTCATCATCATCCTCCTCTTCTTCAGCCTCGTCGGCGGCACCAGAAGCAGCACGTCTTCTAAGACTGTCGACAACCTTTTCAGCATCGGCATCGCCAACGACGACTGTGACGAAAGGCTTAACGGCAGCAGCCCAGGTAGAGGACTCGGTTTCCTTCTCGTCGACGAGCTGGCCACCGACAGCAGAGATGTATTCCAAGACAGGAGTTAGCTTCTCAGCTGTCTTAGCGTGCTTGCTGGGGATAACAGCTTGGAGGTGAGCCAGCACAGTGGCAACATCGCCATCATGGCGAACCTCGGGGATTTTGCCGTCCTTAATATCACCAACACGGATAAGAGTGTCCAAAGCCTGCTTGGTCTTCTCACGGGCTTCAGGGTCGGCCAAGTTGTCGTAGTTCTTCTGGAGACCTGGCATCATCTTAGGCAAGAAAGGCGCAACAATGTTGGGGTCGTCGACAAGTTTGCACATGTTGTCAACGATGACGGCAGCCTTTCGCTTGATGGCGGTGTCTCGCTCAGCAAGACCACGATCTAGCAGAGGAACCATCAGGGCTAAGGTAGGCTCCTGAACCTCAGTGACGAAGGTGGTAGCACCGAGTAAGTGGACGGTCTCAGGGACATTCTCAGGCTTTGCGATACACTTGATGAGCTCGGGAATGAATCGCTCGATATCTTTGTTGCGGATCAACTCGCAGATCTTCTCCATGGTCTTGTATGCACGGTCCTTAACTTCCTTCTTGGTATCCCACATGGATTCGGAGACGACAGGGATAAGCTCAGGAACGCGGTATGCGAGCTGGGCAGGGGCAGTTCGAACGAGGATATCAATGCACTCGAGAGCGGTAATCTTCTCGGGCCATTTCTGGGCCTCGAGAATGGACTTGACAATGATGGGAAGGACGGCCTTAACAGCATTGGGGTTGACGGCTTCAACGATAGCGGTGGTAGCGGCAATAGCAGCATTTTTAACACCGGTAATCTTGTCGCCGATGGCGGCCAGAGTAAGAGGTAGTAGAAGAACTAAGTAGGGTTCAACATTGGGGGCAATCTCGGAGTGCTGGGCAATAGCCTGGATGGCATTGGCAGCCTTCTCGCGGGCTAAAGCATCCTTCTTGTTAGAAATCTGCTTCTTCAGGGCTTCCACGGTTCTGTAAGATTGAATTTGTTAGTACCTAACCTATATAGTATATGCGATAGAGAAAATGGAGATGATGGTTAAAAGTCAGAGTTTTCACAAGAGAAAACAAAAATAGTATGGTGGAGAGAAGCTCTTCGTCATTCATTTTCTTTTTTTTCCTCGCATCCACACACTCAGCACAGATTTAGTGAGTGGGGGGAGGGGTTAACATAACGCCAATGCAATGGGCATATTCGGGCACGTGCATTTGGTGGGGGAGGGGGGGCAAAAGAATGTGAAAGCGGCGAAGGGAAACGCCAAAAATTCTAAATGTTGGTAAAAATGAAAATAGAGCTAGAATGTAGGGTAGCAGCCTAGGGAAGGGCCCAAGCACAAAACAAGGCAGTCGTAAATTCCAAAATGTGACGACTAATGGAATGTGATAAATGTGCGTGAATTGAGATTTTCTTACCTGGTGGGGGCTTCCTGGTCCTCGATGCGGCCGTTGATGAAAGAGGCCAGAGTGTGAGATGCGTCCTTGATAGAAGCAGCATCCTTGGAAAGGGTGAGCTTTTGCATCAGATCATCCAAGATCTTGATGGACTCGGCGTTCTCCTGGGCCGTAGACATTTTGATTATTTTTGTTCGGAAGGTAAATGATTAGGATATCTTGATCGGAGGATGTCGTCGAGTATGGTATTATCCCGAGTTGACGACGAACTTTTCTCGGTCGCAAGTGCGGTGTTGGGAATCGTCGACGAAAAAAGAAAAAATCTAAGAGACACAACCAAGTCTAGGAAGTGGCCTTCGTCTGGAGCCCGTAGAACTTCTGACAGAACGTCGTTCAGAATCTACTCTATTGTGGCTCGTCTAATCCAGTCTAAGCCAAGTCGCGGCAAAGAACTAATAATCTCTTTTTTTGTCTCGAGAAGAGGATGTACCCGAATCTGAGTTGGAGAGGCTCAGATGGTCACTCTTCAGGAAAAGAGAGTAAAATTGAAAAGGAAAAAGAGAGATGTATGTGGGATAAGGGAAAAGAAGGAGGATTTGGGAAAAGGTGGAATTTGGGCTGTGGTTGTGGACGAGGTTTTATGTGAATTTATGTCAACCTCTAGCAGAAAAAAAAAAGTTTAATGGATGTACGCCATGCAAGGGTCCGCCCCAAATTCTAACTGTTGAAAATTTTGGCGGCCAAAGTAAATTTTTTTTTTCTGCCCGCGAGGGGCAACATTGATACGTGGGCTGCCGAACAAGATTACAGGGTTCTGTGGCCATAATCGATTAGTTTGTGGGGCCAATACCCCGATAAAACCCTATCACTTGTCGAAACGCCACTTCTAGCCCTGCTACGTCCTGTAAGTCCTGGTGGGATCGGCTATACTATGTATGTAAACCGTAGACGCGTGTATATTAAGTAGCATAATAAATATACTTGAAGTTACGATTGTCTTTATCAACCAGATCCACTTAAGACAGAGGAGCCAATGGTACAAATGCAAGCCAGGGGTCAGCATGATTCATGTTCATGCTACTAATAGTATGTACCTAGGTAGGTAATTGTAGGTACTTTATTCCATTTTGCCTTTTGCCTTTTGCCTTTCTGCCTTCCCAGCTGCCTCCTCGAAGTTAGTCCCATTTAGGCATCAAAACAAGTACAATCTCATAGGGCGTCCGTAAGGCGGTCAGGCGGTGAAGGCTAAATCTTCTCCATCCTCCTCCAACTTGTTTCATCCCCGCCAAATAGGTGAAACGGGGCAAGCTGGCAAGACAAGTAACCTACCATATAAAAGGCACGATCCGAAATACTTCTGAATAGGTATTATTTCTACGCGTTTTGAAGTATTTTCCAACATTCATAAGATTTAATATTTTCTAGCATGTGCCAAGGGTCCGGTATAGCACTCTCATTGGCGTTTGAACCTTAGTATTACATGTAACTTATTAATGACTGCCCTTTAGGGGTTTTAGGGGTGCGTCGTCGAGTTTACATAAGTCAGGTACTGTATGGTGGTTACGTAAGCAGAGGGTATTAGGTACCGAGCTTTTGGTGGGAGGAGCCCACTCATTAGAAAAGGTTACCAAAGGTATAACATCAAATTACCAGCAACTTTAAGTCCGTTAAATCCTACAATGCCCGTTACATGATATATTACGTAGTACATACTTCTTACACGCCTCCTACGTTAAAAGCTTATTCCAATCTGTGGCTGCGGAAGAACTCCATGATCGACGCGCTGGCGTTGAAAGCAGCCAGGTCCTTTCCATCGTTATCGCTGTTCGGTTGCGTAGACGGCCACGCGTGACCAATATTGTCGCCATCGTATACGAGCGAGACCAGGCCACCTCCATAGCTCATCTGAACACCATTCTGTGCATTGGGGATCGTCGTGTTTTCCGGCATCTGATCCAAGTTATCCCTCGCCGCCCATTGCTTCGCCCAGGAGCTTATAGCCGGTAAGCAGGCTCCCGAACGGAATCCTCCATTATAGTTGATCGTAGTATCAGCGCCGCCGTGGAAGGCCAGGATCGGGATATTGGAACGGCCCGCGTCGCAAGGTATTTTGACGCTCTCCGGGTGGCAATCCTCCTTCTTGTCGATCTCCTTAATGTAGTACGCTCCTGAGACCGGCGCGAACGCAGCGATCCTCTTCGACAGACCGGCGTCGCAGGCCAGTCGGCCAACAAAACCTCCACCCTGAGACTTGCCCGTCGCGTATATACGCCTCCTATTTACGCACAATTCGTCGCTCACCGCGTCGAGCACATCAGTTGTGAAACCGATATCGTCAGAGTCGCAGTCCGGTGCTCCCTGCCATACGGTATGACCAGGTCGACTAGCCTTTCTGGATATTAGCGACGAATATTTGGTAAGCTGACATGATATGGTGTCCTCACCTCTAGACCTTGCAGATATACCACGATATGATCCGTGTTGAAGAAGGGGTCAGACAACCTATCCAACTCAACTTGATTCTCAATAACCCTGTTGGCGCCGTGGTAGCTGAGAATAAGCGGCGTCACTTTATCGGAGTCATAGTTGGCCGGTAGCCATACGCGATACTCGCGACCCTCAGATGTAGTATAGTTCTTGAAGCTACCAGCCTCAAAAGACGGCTTCTGACCGCAGCCAGCAGATCTGCCCTGCACCGTGTCGACGAGGGAGGCAAGAGCGACAGAAGCAAGCGAAAGGGAGAGCATAGTGTAAGCTTGTTGGAAATCTCGGAACTGATGACTTATTGATCTTGTTGAGTGGTTAATCGTGCGCAGTGCGCTTTATATATACTAGGAACGACAACAAGGGTCCGTCAACTTTACGACACCGCTGAGCGTGTACCGTGGAATAAATACAACAAGGCCATCTCACCAAGAAGTCAGCCTATCATAGTCGGACATCTTCCCCAGTTATTCGGCTGACGAAGACGGCAAGCGGGCACCATTGCGTTGGCGCAGATACTAATCGAGACACAGTTCCACCGTGGGAGAGGGTGAGCAAGGTGAGTTTCTATTTTGAACTGCTAGTGTCGATCGTATTTGTGATCCTGGTATGTTCCATAAATGTCTCAGCCACCATCGTTACTACATACATTCTAGTCTTATTCGCTTCGTGAGCGGAATTCGGCACCGCCATATGTTGGAGGACAACCCCTAATAGTATTATGCTGATCAGGAATAAAAAAACTACTAAGCTACGGCATCTAAGGCTATAACAACTTGTTCTGTTTCTATTGATGACGCCATGCTATAGTTGATATATATATTAGACCTCGCAGGTGCCTAGCTATGTCAACTCCGAAAGCCTCGACGCGTAATATCGTTTCCAATTGAATATTGTTAAACCAAGCCAGAATTCCGACTCTTCCTCGGCTGGAAGATATCGTATACTCTTTATGTAGTTGTGGAGTCTGGAAGAGCCCTCATTTAGACAGAGACTTGAATATCCCTGCGCAATCATGATCCCGCTTCCTCCGGGTGGCATCTGCGGACTCGTAGTCCCCTGCTTCGAGATACCAACTTTCAAGAAGTGTCAGAGTTTCATAATAATTCTTGCCAGGAGGCCAAGCTTTCCCCTGAAGGTTTGCGGCCGACTCTAGATATTCCCTTGCGGATTTATGGAAAGCGCTGGTTAAGGGGTCCTCCCCAGAAGAGCGCGTCTTGTTGTAGCGGGCCATACAGTAATCGCCGATGAATTGGAGATAATCCGAAGGCGAAGGAGACAGCCGGTTCTGTTCTAGAGTTTCCAAAGCAATTTTGGGGAGTCTATCATCGGACCAGCTACACTGGTTCCCAAATATAAGTAACAAATCCGCTCTCAGGTTTGAAGGATCCTGAACGGTTTCCAGCTTCGGTAAAGTTGCTGTTGGTATCTTATCGACTTCCCAGTGATTCAAACAGAGATAGTACCGATGATACGAATCCCATATAGGTCCAAGATCCCAAGGCTTGAGCAGAGCGTAGTCAAACGGTTTACCATCAAAGGAACTATTAAACCTGCCCGAGGCCCACTCTATAGCCCAGTCCAATAAGTTCACATTATGTTCTAACCCGTGCTGTTGTGAAAATTTGGCGAAGGACGCCAATAACCGATGTAAGGGTTGGTTTACGCCATCGATAGCACCAGCATACCTTGAGAGATAACTCCAAAGCTCCCTCATGATCTCTGCGTTTGGATACCTTTGGATGGCCATCATCATCTCAAAAAAAGACAGAGCCGCAGATGTCTCCAGTATATGATGCAGAAGAGCGAAGGCGCCCCGGCAGAACCAACCACCCTCCATATTACGACCTTCGGAAAAAAGCCAGCAGCCGTGGGTTAACAACTGGACAGAAAGGAGTGCGTTGCTCGTATGGTGAGCGTCTAGTTTCTTCAGATAGTCCGTGTCTAACGGGCGGGGTTTGACGAACGTCTGAGACGTCCATTGGAAGAACCTCTCTTTGATACACAGTTCGCCGGGGGGTTCTAGGAGCCTCGGGACCGAGGGCGGCGTCCGGCATCTTACAGTTGGCGGCAAATCGCCCAAGTCGGCTACTTCGACGAGATCGAATGCGTTGACCCCTCTTCTCCTCATGTATGCCTCTACGTCGATTAATTTACCGTTTCTACGAAAAGTAGTCTCTTTTCCGATGGCCAGGCGATGACGCTGTAAGTAAAGGAGATTTGCTACGTCAACCTGACGGTTGTTCTTGAAGAATTTCCACTGGGTGAGCTTCGTCTTGTACATCTTTTGACTTAAAAGCTGGCTTAGTTAACGAGCAGATGGAAATAAAACAAGATAAGATAGAACAAGAAGTATTAGGAGACTCTTGGGCAAGCTTACGATGCGCGAAACCCCCATCGTTCCTCCATGATTTCCATCACATCTTTGAGACGTTTATTCTCGTCCAGGTAGAGGCGGCCGATCTCTGCCTTGTGTGTTTCCCAGACTTCGGGACTATGCGTTCGCTTACGATAACCACGTTTAGAACTTGTCGACGTCGGCTTCACCTCCGAGGCCTGTCCTGAACTACCAGATGGGCCGGCCTCTTCGGGTATTTCCATAAGCGTAAACTTGCCGCTAGCCGTCCCCGACAGCACTTCCTGTCCATATTCGGTAGAGTCTGATCCCGACTCCACAGAATCGGGCGACAATCGGGGATTATGAGTCAAGTGTACTACAAGGTTGCGGCTCATCGCGTCTGACATCTCGACTTCCGACTTCCGACTTCCGCCTTGGGTTGGCTCGTATGTTTCAGGCCGATATCCCAGAACTTTCACCGTGTGCCAATATACGCGTAATCAGAAAGCAAGGAGCCCATGATCCCGAATGAGGGGAGCGAGGCTCAACAAATAGTGCCTTTAGGGCCTTCAGTCTATGTGTCGCAAGCGGGAATGCAGCAGAGACGTGTTGTTAGTAGGTGCGATATTAGCGAATGGCTTAGGACGAATAAAGCACCTTACATAGGCGGTATAGCAGAAGCGACATGAGGAAAAAGAGGGACAACTTGCATGGGCTGAGGGGAACATGTAGGATTTACGGGTGGGTTGCGCGCGCCTAACCTCTTTCTTCAGAGAACGAGCGTTAGGGCTGCAAGGGTCTACATTGGTTATTTGTAACCTGAATCAGATAGATACCTCCTATACGATTGAAAGCAGCAGTATAACGTCTCATCATTGATTTCATATACTTTACTAGGTTGCTTCGTATAAGTAAGGCCTCGAAAGCTCGAACCCCTACGGGAGCGATAGGCTGCTGTTCGTAGATTGTTCGTAGATACCTAACGAGAATGTAAACAAATCCCAAATCAAATCTTGGGTGCGTTCATCATCCTTGTCAACTGCTTAAAGCCGGATATAATAGTATTAACTCCGAAACAACACCGCGGCATACAAAGTAGATGCCTTTTTAAATTCATCAATTCTTCTTTCGATGATCTGACAACGGCATAAATATTCTAATTTTGATGGCATATGAGCCAAGAGAACAAGCTGTCACTACTATGTTGTTAAAGCAAGCGCTGATGTTTTTTTGGTTTTTTTTTTGGTTTTTTTAAAAGGTATAATTGGATAATAGACAGGCTCATTCCCGTAACCCAAAGCCACCTCTGACTGCCAAAGAATTTACACTGCGATGACAGGTTGGAAACGTTCAAGCGGCTCGTAGTTTGGCCAGTCTCTCCTTGGTACTTGTCGCAACGTCTTCTTCGTTATATATTCCCGCCACGCTAGGATGCTTGGAAACAGCTTGTCCCCATTTGTAGAAGTTAGGGGCCTTGGCAGAAATATCAGTGAGGATGTGCGCAGGCAGGATGCCATGCTTCGGTAGTGTAAAAAGGCGGATTATGAAGCTTCCTGTCAACACCTTGAATCGATTTAGTCCATGCTCTCTGTTCTATGAGCAAAAGGGGATGATTACCTCGGCCTGCGTAAGCTTGTCGCTGCCGTTGAAGAAGGGAGCAGCATCGGCAAGAAGTGGCTCCACTTCCTTTACAAGTGCGTCGACATACTCCTTGACGAGAACTTCTCTTTCATCGTCAGTCTTGGCGAATTGCGCCTTGTAAAAGTTGCTGTTCACCTTCGAGATAAAGGTGTCGACGAAGAAAGCGATCCTAGCACGAAGCAAGGCGCCTCCAGGGGCGTTCGAGGCCGGTAGAAGATGAGACGGATGAGCATCGGCTAGGAAATTAGAAATGATAGCCGACTCTGTGAGGATCTCTCCGTTATATTCGATAGACGGAACTAGACCCCGAGGGTTTATCTTCAGATACTCGGGGGTACGTGGGGTGCTCAAGTCAATAATCTCCTCTTCGAACGGTAGCCCGAGCTCAGCAAGAGAGATGTGTGCTCGGTGAGCCCCTGGTAGAATAAATTTGATCAGCTCTTTTACCATCAGACTTGAGACTTAAGACTGGGGGCGTTCGTACATGGGCAGCGATGGTTCGTATATAGCTTAATCTTTGGTGTCGCCATTTTCTTCTTCAAGGGGTTTCGAATAAGGAGACTCAAGACGGACAGCAAGTAGGATACTGTGAGGTAGACTCTACCTTCCGACCTCACCTTATATCTACCTTAGGTTTAAGCTTTGTGCCGGCATCGACGGACGCTGCTTACCAACCCAACATGCGGGGCCATCCTGCGCGCACTCCAACGCCGTCGCCCAATAATAATAAGAACAGACACATTAAAAATTACGCAATTCATCTCCAAAAACGTCTCAGCTCGGATTATTTGTAAATCAAGGTACCTACCTGGTTGGTAAGCATCATAAGTTAGGTAGTATTCCGCAACGAGCGTACTTTCGGTAATTGCATGTTCAGTTGAGACTACCTATGTACATCTTTTCCAACTTGAGAATGAGGTTATCGCCCGACTTGTGTTCCATATTCCATATTTCTTAAGATACTTTTAGGTTAGTTACCTACCTAGGAGGTAGACAACGATAACAATGTTGCGAATAGCTTCACTGTGAGCTTACTAATCCAATTCACAATATCCATTAGTGTAGTTACAATTAATATTGTGTTAACAGCCACCCTTGAGCAGCAACTGTGGCTTGTGCATAGACAAACTGTAGTCTGTCATACATATACCGTCATACTGACCGAGATCAGCGAATATACAACTACCTATTCATGTTTATATTCTCCATGACGCAGAGGTGATCTCATACATAGGTATTTATGGATTTTCTTGTCTTCAATGACATCAGATAGCATGCAGCTCTTAACTTAAATACTCGAGCTACCAGCTACGAACTGGGAAGCTTCTTGTTTTCCTTCTTATCACTATTACAACTATTAGTATTAACACAACTTTACCAAAATAACCACATCTTTGATTCAACATGCCTCGTCCCGGAGGTCGATCTCACAACACCTATGATCTCTACCCCGATACCGATCACCACATTCTTCACGGTACTAGGAACGAGCCCATCGTAAGTATAGGTTAATTATACATCTCGTCTAGACTCTAGGTATACTGACGACATATATTAAGGGGTACCGCGTTGCACGAGCCGATAAAACCGCAGAACGACCTGTACATGAACATGGCGCGGGATTGGAAGGCATGAGTGCCAGTGGTGGTTACAGTCAAGGTTTAGCACAGGGCCCTTTCAGGGGGCAAGGAGGGCGCGCAAGGAAGAATTAAGATGTCTAGGTCATCGACATGTATCAATAGGTATTGGTGTTCTTCCCGAGTAGAAGGACTTGGATGAATTAATGAATAGATGAATGGATGAATAGAGAAGGAAAAGAAACATCAAATTGATCACTCACGGGTTAACTACATTAGTAATGTGTTCTTGCCGGCGCCATCAGGAAGTTTTAACCGTAATGTTAACCCCGGATGAACCCACCCATCGACACCATTGTTCCAGTTCGGTTGGTATGGTAGCTACAGGTAGTTAATCGTAACGTAGGGATACCCGTCCCATCCTACGTCAGCGCTATGAGGCAACACGATACAGGGATCCTTAATATATAGCGCCGCCGTCAACTGAGTCGTGGAACTGAAGGATGTTGGTCAAACTGCCTTTAACTCTCCCTGTCGCCAGGTCAATCATAATGAACCCTGTTCTCCCTTCGTTACTGCTGTATATAATATATACGATGCCACCCTTCGACTCGGTGATATTCGAGCGAAGATCAAACCGCAGGTCGTTCATATAAGCGTCTGGATAATGGACCGTTCAAGGCAAAGTGTAGGGTTAAGTTTATAGCTACCAGCTTTGGGCCTCCAGGCGCGGCATATGTCATACTAAGCTTTTCCTCTTGGGTAATACTTGGACGTCCAGTGTCAAGCACCCAAAGCGTGTCGTCGGGGGTTACGTATAATGCTTGCACGCTGATAAAATGACCCTCATCATTACTGCTGAATGTGATGCTATTGCTAACGTTAGAAAGTCCTTGAGGGGGCTTGTTCAGCTCTAGGTTAGGGTATGTCACCTCGGCCGTCTCGTCAATGATTTCGCCCAACGTATATACATGTCCCACGCGTATAGCAGGTGAAAACCCGCCCTTCTTTCGACACGGCGAGTCCAATGGGCCATTAGTCATAGAAGTAGTGATATTCTTCCACTCGAAGTGGACGCCACATGTTCTTTGGAATGTATGATGCTGATATCTCCCAACTCGGGTGCCATGTAATGCGGGGAATCTTATAAATACAATGGAGCGGGATGCACATTCTATCATCTAGGGTTACATAGCAGACATATAAAGTAGTGTTGTCACATTGAGGGAATTTCCGACGGGCTGTTAAGGGGAAGAGGTTGCCGGAACGAAAGGTCAGTCCTAATATCAATCAGGGGCTCTGGGCCAGAGCTAGGCCATAACCCATCGCCCAAGCTCATGTGTGATACCATGGCGATTCCTAAATTACCTATCTTGAAGATGGTGTATCATCATAGGTCGATTTATGCAGAACCCTTCCAGTCATGGCGAGAACCTTAGGGATGCTCGAGCCTTCATAGCTTGATATAATTATAAGCAGACCTATGTTTTCGTCATCGCAAAAGATTGCTGGCGGTATTCGGAAATTCTTCCACTAGGAATATCAAACCGAAAACGCGCTCGGATTCTTACATGGAACGCGGCAGCACAAGGATTAAGACCGACGTAGAGTGTCGATGAGTGGATGTTATGCACAGAATTCCTTACTACTACATGTATCGAGTCTACTTTGAAAATGACTTTAAGGGGCGCTGTAGTAGGAGAGGAGTTATAAAAATACACATTGATCAACTTATTATTGAACTAGGGAGCGTAAGTGGTATAGTCTTCGTACAGAGTATATTTCATTAGGTCAGGTAATTAATAATAATCAGTTCATTAGAAGTATTAACTACCTCCTAAACATCGGTCGTGCGTCCTAGCAAAACTCGTAGTCGAGCATCCGAGCTAGGAGACCCCCTGCGTCAGTGGCTGAATGCATGCCTCTCGGTGGCCGCGGGGGGGATATGCTGCTCCCGCCAATTACATGAGTAACGTTCTGACTCCATAGTGATTTGCGGATGCAGCTATTGTGCAGCTCGACGAGTGTCGTGATTGGACAGGTCATGAGTTTCTCACGTAGTACGATGCAAAGCCCCTCGCGATCCCGCATCCTCGTGCCTCGTGTGAGTATTGACTACTCCTCACGCACGTAACAAGAATAGTCAACGTGGGAGTGTGAGACGACCCCAAATGATATATGTCTATGCCAGGTTATTAACCTCCTCTAAGGACGATTATAAGACGACGAGACATACGATTCGGCGACATAGTAGTGAGACAACTTAGCTAGGACAGTTCGCTCTCGATAGATTCGCCCTCGTGAAAGGCGGCCTGCTAAAACCCCCAATACGCATAATGGCAGCCACCAAGGTTATCATCCCGCGGGAACGGCTCGTGGCTTTGCAACAGGCTTACGACACACTATGCTTATATCTCGGCTTCCACGACGATGAAAAGCATTTTGCACGGCAAATCTTAGACGGATACTCCGTGGCCCCCTTTTTTGCGGAGTACCGGCACGACTACCTCGAAGCCGAAGCAGAGGTCGAGAATATAGACTGCGATGAGCTGTTTCGGTGGTGCAGATCGAATAACGCGTTTGCTCTGCCAAAGTATGTAAGCTCTAAAACGCCGAGAAAGGGGAGTTGGACTGCACTTGACCATGCTACTCGGTTTCTCGTCCGCGTGCTACTATTTAGTTGGGATAACGGCGGCGACTGGAATCATGGATGTTTTGATCCTGATAATGATCAGGATTTTGAGAGCGACAAGGAGTTTCATCAGGTGTGGGCCATCCTACGGTACTTACAGATGGAATGGGAGGCTGCTAATATCGAAGAATGGGAGGGAGATGGCTTGAGCGAGACTCTGGCGGGTATGCTATCCAGTAGGTTGTAATTTAGGAAAAGGGGGGGGAGAGGAGGAGGTTAATGTCGAGTAGTATTATTCTCTCCACATAGCTACTAGTATGGTTACAGGTTAATTCATACGAGATTCTGGAGGGTTGAAGCGGTTAGTATCATTAGAGCCGACCATTTCATACCCATATGCAGGCTTCTACACTATCGATTCACATTATGACATACGAAATAGAGACATCCAGTTGGTACTATATTATAGGTGAGGTGGATTAGTAGGTACCTAAGATATTACCGCTCTATGGGGTATCATTGTATTCCTTCTTAAATCGCCCACCTTCCAAAATTAAATTAAATAGTAATATATATATGGTATATATATACCTTATATATAATCAAACATCACTCAAAGTTGCAACCTCCTCTCGACGCTGCTTTCCGACAGCAACCTCCCCAACACTCTCTGGCGAAGATTCGACGCGACCAGAGTAGTGGCCGGGCTCGCTGCTCCTGTCCGGAATGTAGAATCGTTTGTCGACCCTTGTTAGGGTTAAGACGCATAGGATCAGTATCTCGACTGCGAAGTTGAAAACGTAGAATGGAGCCTTGCCATGATACCAGGCCGGGTCATGGAGTGGTCGTTGCGGCGAGTAGGCGGTACCGGCCTTGAAGCCCGCATTTAACATGCACAGGCACGCTGTCGCAATGACTATCACAGCCTTAGTCCTCATCTTTCCATCTCCAAATCTTTCTTGATTGGGGGTTCGAGGTAAGAGGTAAGCGGCGGCGGTCAGGAAGATGGGTAGGGCAGTGATGACGAGAAGGTAGGTTCCGGACGTTAGTTGAACATCCCGACAAGCTCGTAGCGTATAGGGATCCAAACGGTACACGGACAAGACGACGGCGGTGATAACCATGATAAGAGCACAGGCGATACCAGCGTAGAGAACTCTGTAGAGGATGCGAAGCGCGGTGTTCCAACCAATAGATGGCTGTTTCGCTCGTAGAATGCGCTGAGCGAATATGAGATTGACGACGTAGACGATGAGGATGCCAGCATTGACGAAGATATTAGCTGCGATAGCAAGACGAACGTTGGTCTGCCGATTCGCCCACGCTATCCGTAAGCTGAGGGTGACTATGCGGGCCATGCAGAAGCCGAACAGCGCGACGGACGGGACGAATTTATAAGCTCTCCGATTGTTAAGCTGGAATATTACCATGTTAATGGTAGCGAACGCTACGTATATGGCGATGAAGACAGCGGATATGGGAACGTCGGGTATAACAGAAGGGATACCGCCTAGGGCCGCGGTAGTAGGAGCATAAGGCGGACCCGGGCGATGTTGAGGCTGCTGTGACATCGTAACGCTATTATACCTTAGGTTATACCTTAGGTTATTTATACCTTGGGTATTAATTATTATGTTAGGTACCTAACCTTGGACCTAGGTAAGATACCTTTATACCTTTATATCGTATTAGACATATTCCAAAGTACCTAAGGTAATAATACCATAGAATCGAGTAACGTAGGTGATAAACCCAACATTGGGTTGAGGGGTGCAGATCTGACAGATGCGATAGATCTGACAGGATTCGTATGCAAAATATAATATTTACCTTAAGGTATATGCAGGTGTGGGAGCGATATGTGCCAGGGGGTTATAAAAAAAAAGAGAAGAGAAAAAAAATTAAATAAAAAAAGAACCAATGATAAAAAGAAATATGTGAATGTTTAGTCTAAAACGGGACTCGATACTCGATATGAAGCTTTTTAAGCTTTAGTATAAAGTATAAAAGATTACCTAAGATATGCAGGTACAATTACCTTAGGTACATAAAGTAAGTAGCTCATAAAATCTCTAGAATTATAGTATAAAAGACATGGACATGCGTTAGGTACATGCATGTAAAATCACCCAAAGTTATTTGAAAAGTCATACCTTATAGGTTTATATATTGTTGTCTCATACCTACTATGTATCCATTCGGCGCATCGCCACGCATATCTCGCGACTCCCGAACCCACGAAATTGACCCACCAAGATCTAATCACGAATTTGTTCTAGGGCTGCTTGGTGGTCGCGGAGCTTGGAGCTACATTATCGTCAGCATCATGGTCATCCTTGTTTTTTTTTCCTTGTTAGTTGTTAGTTGTTAGTCGTTACAGATGCAAATTCCAAAAGGAGCAAATCAAATAAGGACTCGACCAATAAGATCCTGCCATCTTCCGCTAACACATACTGACATGCTGACATGCTGACATGGGTAAGGTGGGTATACTATGTAAGGTTGGCGGCGACCTGGAATGCCGATGACCGATGACCGTTGACCGTTGACCGACTCCCCTGTACTCACTACCTAAACACATATATTATAGCGCCTCTTACGAAAAGCGATGCACTTCACTTACAGAGACCATCCGCAGTCTCGAGCATTCTTGTCCTCCTTTCTTCGCATATATCTCAAACGTAAGTTGGACGGCCAAAGTTTCACCGCATCTTCAAACTCCCTCTCAGCATTCTCGTCCGGTCCAGTAGATACGCAGACCCGATGCGCTGCGCTGCAACAAGGATGTAAACCCTGATTGCTATTGTCCACAATGGAATTACATTTTTTACACAGATTCTCAAGCTGTTGCCGATCAAGGCCGTCGCAGCATTTCGGGAACGAAACAGGTCGAGCGTGCGGTTTCCTGTTCACAACCTTGCGAGCCTCGGGACAGAATGTTTGCCATTCATATTGCTCAAGCACGTCTGTCTTGCAGCCTTTGCCTCGCTCGGCGCAATACTTGTACTCGCTACCCTTCCAGGTAAGGCATCCGCAAGGAAACCTGGTAATGGCGAAGTAACACATCTTTCCGTAACGTTCGCAGAAGCTTTGATAGGTACAAGGTCTATGTTGAGTGCTTCGAGCTGGAGAATATAGAGAGAATAATATAGAAGGGTATATGCCACTTTTAATATGCTTTCGTATAAGACATATCGACGGCTTCTTTATAATAACACCTTTCCTGTTGTCGGTCTGTTTCCCATCTGTTTCCTACCTGTTGTCTACCTGTTGTATACCCGTCGTATAGTTACCGTGGAAGAATAGTTTCATTCACCCGAGAACTATTCCATCTACTAAAATTGAAACCCTCATGTGTACTGGCTGCAAACGCCGCTGTTGTTCCCTAACAGTACTTCGATTCCGACGTATCACCTCTCAATTTCGACATGGCAACACCCCCTTTATAACTTAAACAATCACCGACGCTATATATTGATCGAAAGGTCTTGCTTGATGGAAAATTGAGCCTATTATACGTACATGTAACTTTGGGCTCCAAGGTCTATCGCCAAATTTCAAGATTCTTGTAATAATCATGTTGATCCGTTCGAATCCAGCAGATTGCATCGCATCTTACAAGTAGGTGGCAGTGATCGAAGAGGTAAAATGTTCAAGCTCCCAAACGAAATACCTCCCCAAAGGAGGAACCGACGGGTTTGGAGGCTAATAGGGGTGATTCATTCATCGTCTAGTTAGATATAGTAGTAGAAGGTACTGAGCGGTATATTTGATAGCAGCGTTATAGTAGCCAGTTGTCAGATTGGTTGTCTATTTGGAGAGACGTACTCGGTTATTCCAAGTTACGTCTCTTTGAATATTCGTATCTTGTAGATGTCGGGTTCCTTGGGACAAAGGGTTATGACTTGTATCAAAACCCTGTCTCATTCGGTGCATGCTAAAACAATGCTTCATTGTATTTCAAACAACTACGTGTCTAATCAAGTTAACTAGGTCCTTGTTTTTTCCACACTGACCTTGTGACAATGCCGAGTGGCTTACGATAAAATCATCGCCATCGCCAGCTCTTAAGAAATTTGGCCTCGCTCCAACTTTTAGCAATCTCCATCATAGAAGACTTAGAAGCCCTAGGTGATTTAAGTAAGCACAAGGGGTCTACAAATGACAGAGGTAGGCCAGATAATCCACATACATCCAGATATTGAAGGCACCTTTCGGGCAAGCAGGCTTGCGCACCAAGATGTCGAACCCACCACCGTCATCAACCCCATCATTTTCTCCGACTCATACCCCCACAGCCTATCCCTGGCCTGTCGAAAAAGGAGTCTCGGAGAGGTCCCAAGACACCAGGGCAAGCTGCCAATTTATAACATTCTATCACACCTGTGGGTGCAGATCCTATAAAGACTCTGTTTACCTCTGTAGCATTGGTGCATGCCAGCATACAAGATCAACTGTAGTGCTAGGGGAGCTGCCTTTCGCATGCGGGTCATACCCAGGACGATCAGCGGCATGTGGTACTGAGGACCCGGCTAAGAGGGAGTTCGTCCGAGAAGTAGACACAGCGGACAGACTTGAAAAGTTGCTGGTCCTCCCGGATTGCACCAGAGCCGACATTGATGATTTGATCCCGCCATTTCATAACCCCAATTGGGACTACGAGATCTCTAGCCGCTATCACGGAAGGCCCTCCCAGAGCAGCAGCTGCTTCCTCCCACAGGTTCCTCCGAACAATGACAGGAGTATCAATGAAAGAGACCTTGGCGTTCAAGAGGTCGTACACATGCTCCTATCAAAATGTGAGACCGCAGAAGAGGAGCATAAAGAAAGTATGGTGGAGAGATACGTGGAGGAGCAGCAGCAGCTTAACTGTCAACAATTACAAAATATGCCAATTGATAAAAATGGTCAAGAGATATCAGATATTTCTCCGGTAAGGCATATTTGGGGCGATATATGGGACGCCGTGGGCTCCGAGAGCAAACGTCAACACGACGCAGCCTGCTACGATGCAGCTTACCACGATGAAAAGCCCGCCGACGCCGTCATGTTTAGCTCCGAGGATAACACCAAGGATTCCCCATATTCTCCCAGAATAGGTTACATAAATTCTGCAACGGTGGTGAAAGGTTCAGATAGTACGTATTATGAGCAACAACCTCAGGGCGATAATCACGCAGATGACATCCCTAAGTTGGAGAGTTTTAATACTCGCAAGTATTCAGAAGAAGGATTCGGCGAGTCAGACGAGGTAACGGATGATTTCATCGATTTCCTCGCCGAAAAAGATAAAAAGTTGCAGGAAGGGAACCCGATGATGAAAAAGTTTTGGTCATACATTAGAGGATACTGAAGGCCTTTGTGGATCGGTGGAGTTCTTCGCTTGACAGGAGTAAAATATCTGTAATTCAAGAGGCGTTTCCGTTATATCTAGGTGGTTTTAATGCTTGAGAGAAGAAAGGGGGAAAATAATAATTAAAAAAAGAAATTATTAAATCCATTCGCATGTCCTTATCGGGCGCCTTTGTGACCTCCAATTTCTCAAATGATGCTATAGAAAGACGCTGACCACGGCGTAATACCTACTACCACAGACATACTGTATCTTCGGGTAGATCGTTCTATCTCATAAACCGCTCATGGAGTGACCAAACTGGCTTGTTAAAATTAGACTTTCCCTCTACAGCATCTACCCATTCCTCAACAATCTTATACGCGAACTCATTATCACAATTCTGTACAGCGGCTTCGTAATCTCTCCGGGATCTCTGCCTGTAAAATGCGTCAACCCATTCGGGACATCGCTGCATCATCTCATCAATAAAAACTCGACGAAGCAGGGTTAGATGATGCTGTCTTAGCTCTACGTCGTACTTGAGGATTTCCTCTTTGTTTTCTAAATATGCTCGAGTAACCCTATAGGGAGTACGTGGTTCAACAGCCCGGTCCCATGCCTGATGCAGAAAGGCCGGGAATTGGCAGGCTTCATAAAGAGGGAGGCATGAAACACATGACCAGCCGATAACGCCCTGGAGCACACCATTCTCATCAACAAGGATGTTGTCGAGAGAGATGTCATCATGCCAGAGCATAGTCTGTTCATGCGGCTTGTCCCCCTCATTGATGGTCTCCGCATCTTCCTCATCAGTCGACTCGTCTTCGTAAGTTGACGGTTCACTATCGCTAAACGGCCCAGGAGGTAAGAAGAATTTGCCTCGGAGTCCGCGGAGACGGTCGATGAGATCTAGCATGCCGGACAGAATCATGCGATGATCCTCCTCAGTCGCTTCATCCAGTTTTAATCGGAGCTCGGCTGAAATGAGACGGAGACGGATCTTTGTCCACTTAAATGCGGTCCGGAAAGGCTTTGTGTAATGACGTATACTGGCGCGCTCACCCTAGAAGAACGCCGTTGAGGCTATTTCACCTAACACAAAGTCGGGAATTCGACTGATGAGATTCCGAAGGGTAGTATACGTTACCAACCCCGTTAAATTGACATGCGAAACAAATGGCAGCGTATTCTGCAATTTGCTTAACGATGCGCTCCTTAGCATCTTGAGTGGTGGATCTCCAGCACTCAAAAAGAGGTGTTCCGTCTATCCGATCCATCAAGATCCATTCGAAGCCGATTGGGTTATTCCGCGTGGAATCATAGTAGTGGACTTTGGGAACGGGTAAGCGGGTATTTTGGTCGACCCACCGCAATGTTGCAACCTCGCTCTCCGTCATGGTTCTGGGACACACGGGGAGATATACTTTTAAGATGAGTTGTATTCCGTCGTATGAGACGCGATATATCCTACTATATGCTCCATTCCAGTGATGTTGAACTACGTACTGCTTGCGTGGGTCGATGGCTTTTTGAAGGGTTGAAATGATGGAGTCTACTGAGGGTTCGACTGTCCATTCAGGTCTCAACGAAAGAAAATCGCCATCCCTGGTCCACTGGAGGCCGTATGCCGGGTCGCCTTGATGAGGAAAGATATTAGCAGAGTCTGATGGCGTATCATTTGCGTCCCCATCATTATTAACGGATTCGACGAAGTCTCCAAATAAAGAATCCGCGTCTTGCGAGAGAGCGCGAAGTTGCTCGCTCTGTCCTGAAATAGCATCCTGGACTGGGGCCTCGTCTAGTGTCTGCTCAGTGTTAGATTGCATTTCAGATCAACTTAAAGTGAAGTGATGATAAGTATGAGTGCACGTAATACGAAGAAAATAAAAGATATCATTGATATGTAAGATAGAGATGAGTATTTTTTTAAAGCATATCACGGAAGTTACGATGAGGGTGCTGATAGCAGCAGCAGCATTGGTGATAAATGTACTCGAATCTTTGGATACAGGTATGTAGATGAAATTTGGTGTAATCGCAATTGTTTGTAGGAAGCTGATGGTGAAGACGGACTGCGTTTAACGGTGGGTACCTACCTAAATCAAGCAAAGCATATAGTTGATGATGAAGGTAGGAAGTACTTGATACCGAACTTACGCCGATCTAGTTAGAGGCCGGTTACTTCGACATACCTAGCTAAGATGCATCGAGGTTAGTAAGGTATCTGCATACAACCTGGAAGGACGTAAGGTGGGAAGTAGTAGGTAGGTAGGTTGGACCTACCTATGTACTACAACCCCGGCATTGCCCGGGCCGACAATGGAAGCAAGCTGTACCTATTGTTTCCAATGTTGTTCCTTCCCCAGAATCTTACGGTCGATCGGCGAAAAGAAAAAAAAAAAAAAAAAAAAAAAGGAAAGGAAATTGTTCCGCCGTATTTTCTCTCTTTTAACTCCTACGCCATTTTTTTTTTCCTCTCTCAACCTATTCACCTCAACCCTGTTTTCGCCATACCTCTCTTCTTCCCTAGGCTTTGCGACTTTGCGTCCCCCTTGGTTCTTTAACCACCACCTCCTCCTTGTCCTTTTCTCTATTACGTATTGTAACATATAGTTGATTCATTTAGAGATCCTATAAGTTCAAAATGGTTCTCGCACGAGCTGCTTTTGGTGGTGTTCAGCGCCGAGCTTTTTCTGCTTCGGCGCAAAACGTAAGTTAACCATTTCTGAGCTTCATTCACAGACGACAATGCTGTGCATGTGCACGTGCAGATGCTATGCAGACCGACCAGAGTGACAATTGCTAACTTCTACTAACTTACTTATCTCTAGCTTTCCAAGGTCACCATTCTTGGTGCTGCCGGTGGTATTGGCCAGCCGCTCTCTCTTCTGTTGAAGCTCAACCCCAGAGTTACCGAGCTTGCTCTCTACGATATCCGCGGCGGTCCTGGTATGTTCTACTCTTCAATCAGCGGACATATAGTCTCAGAGCTCTGCTTATAGCTATCCTACCGTGCCCTGGTAAAGCCATACCTCGCAGCTAACATATAATTGGCGCATAGGTGTTGCTGCTGATATCTCCCACATTAACACAAAGAGCACTGTCAAGGGTTATGACCCCACCCCCACCGGCCTCGCCAATGCCTTGAAAGGTAGCGACATCGTCCTCATCCCCGCTGGTGTTCCCCGAAAGCCTGGCATGACCCGTGACGATCTCTTCAACACCAACGCTTCCATTGTCCGCGATCTTGCCAAGGCCGCCGCCGAGTCTTGCCCGGAAGCTAACCTTCTCATCATCTCCAACCCTGTCAACTCCACCGTCCCCATCTGCGCCGAAGTCTTCAAGGCCCGTGGTGTCTACAACCCCAGGCGTCTCTTCGGCGTCACCACCCTCGATGTCGTCCGCGCCAGCCGATTCGTCAGCGAGCTTAAGGGAACTGACCCCAAGGACGAGAACATCACCGTTGTCGGTGGCCACTCCGGTGTCACCATTGTCCCCCTCTTCAGCCAGAGTAGCCACCCCGATCTTACGTCCAACGCTGAGCTCGTGAATCGCGTCCAGTTCGGTGGCGACGAGGTCGTCAAGGCCAAGGATGGTGCCGGTTCCGCTACTCTTTCCATGGCTATGGCTGGTGCCCGCATGGCCGAGTCGCTCCTCCGTGCCTCCCAGGGTGAGAAGGGCGTTATCGAGCCCACGTTCGTCGATAGCCCTCTTTACAAGGACCAGGGTATCGACTTCTTCGCCTCGCCTGTCGAGCTTGGCCCCAACGGTGTTGAGAAGATCCTCCCCGTCGGTGAGATAGACGCCAACGAGGAGAAGCTTTTAGAGGCGTGCTTAGGTGACCTGAAGAAGAACATCGAGAAGGGTGTCGCTTTTGTCGCCGCCAACCCCCCCAAATAAGTGAAAGTAATCTAGATGCCTAGAACTAGGCGTTATTTAACGTGCGCACAAATAATTACGAAGGAGAAGCGAAGTCGATGGGTATACTTGAATGATGTAGACTATGTTTGGTCATATTCTAATATGCGCCCGCGGCTAGCTTGGCCTCGGCTACTTGTCTCATGGGAAAACGCGATAGACCTAGTACCTAGAGATGTACGATAGTTAAACGATAAAAAAGATACGATATCATGACATTCCCCCTTCCCCCCTCCCCCTTCGTATTATGGTCCCGACGAAGATATTTACCTACGGTGATATGTGATATGCAATCTCAGGATCGTATAATGAAGCAGACAAGATACAAACAGACTCACTGTCCACTGGTATTTCTACGACATCTGGCCATCTCCGGTTTCCCTATCACGGCCTCGAGCGCCCTCGCCAGACCCGCCTCATCGTACTTGAGCATGCCGTCCACCCTCCTCCCGTATGCCCTGATGCAATCTATGCCTAAAGCACTCAGCTCCACTTTGTTTACCTTGGGTGCACCCTCGCCCTCGAGATATATCAAATGCGTGACATACTTGTGCACTTCCCCTTTCCCCGTAGCTTTCTCGTCGTCACCCACAGCAAAGTCCCCCTGACTCTGCGCTGCCGCCCGCGCAATCGCCTTGACGAAATCTGTTGCTGTTAACGGCGCCGTACTTGGCCCCGTCTCCCGATCTACACTCGAGTTCAGAATCAATACCTTATACCGCACCGCCCGCTCCGCAAGCACGGCGCCCACCCCGCGCAGCACTAGGCTCGGTACGATAGATGTGTACAAACTGCCAATGCTGTAGACTACCGCGCCGGCGCGACGCACGGCGTCCAGGACCTTGGGGTTCGCGAGAGGCCAGATCTCGTGTCCGTACGGGTTGATGTACCAGATGCGCTCTATGCGCGCGGGCAAGTCCTCCTCGTCGGCTTTGCTGAAGTCGATATACTGCTTGCGCAGGGTGGGGAGCGAGCCGGGTAATGTCGCGTCTTCGATGCTGTCGTGTTCTTCCATTTCCCGCCGGGTACTGCTGAGACGGCTGAGTTCGTCGTCGGGAAGGGAAGTGGGTGCTGAAGGGTGCGAGATGGAGTTCTGCCCTGTGATCTGCGTGCCATCTGCTAGGCCGGCGGAGATGTGGTGCGTGAAGTTAGTGTTGATAGCGGGGAGGGCGGAGACGGTAGGTGAGATACAACAGATGGTGGAGAGTAGGTATATGGCTGATTCGAGGGACCCGGTGAAGACGCGGCCTCTATAAGACGGGGAACATGAAGAGCGGTTAGTAATGTGATATACAAATACAAGGTACCTAACCTAACCTAGGTCCTAGGTAGTCATACACGCAATAAAGACGGGGAAACGCGTGTAAACAACATACCCAGTCAAGAACAAATTCCCTATACTGGCCTTGGAGAAATTGAATACCGAACTAGGTCTTGCCCTTTTGACAATCTCCAAGTTGACGAGGTTGAAAATAGACCGAATGAGCTCGCGTTTCTCGCTCGAGATGTTGGTCCATAGCTCAGCTCGACCCTCAACTATGTCGAGCCATTGAAGCCGTGCTTGCGTCGGGTCAGACGACAGCCTGTGGTTGAAGAGCTCCTTAAGCGATGCTCGCTCCGCATCTGTTTCCGACCCTGGAATCAGACGCACTAGACGACCTGTAACAGCCGACGGACGGATCTATCAGCCGAAGGGTTCTATTTCCCCAGTGAAAAAGTTATATTTTATATAAGCGAGGCCAAGTACTCACTGCGGATATCGCCAATACCTGTTCTCATTTTCGTTAGCTTTGGAAACACGACAATACTAGACAAGGGGCGAAAAGGGAGAGGATAGGGTCAAATGGGTTGGATAAGGGTGTGATATTAAGGGATACAAGGTATATATACCAGGGCCACCGAATACGCGTATCAACTCGGACGAGCTTCCACCATTATCGCTTATAGGTATAACGTAGCTAAGCCAGCAATTTCGACTCTGCCTGATGTTTTCGAACACGTCCACAAGACTATTCGTTGCAGTACCGCCTCCAAAGACTACGATGCCTCTAGAGCGTGCGTCCATGGTGTCCACAATGCACGCCCGCCGAGTGATAAACGGTACGGGCCTATGTTCAATCAAGGACAACAAAAACGTCTCGCGTATTTGTATAACAATTAACGAAAAGAACAATTACCTAGGTAATTAAAAAAGTATGAAATTAGGGAATACCCTTCTCCTATTCAGTGTCACGTTACTATTTCAACGATAAGTGAACGAAAGGAAGATACCTATCCGCACAACATGATGGTTCCGCTTCGTAAGCCGTCGGAATGCCTAAATTAGGTTAAAGCGAGATTCGAGTTGATCACGAACAGCTAGTTACAAACTACAAGTATACTTATAAGTATCCAATTCGCAATTCGTAATTGCCCTTTGAAGACGAAAGAAAGAGAAGCCAAGTGGGAAAAAAGAACAAGAAGAAAAAGAAGAAGAAAAAGGGGGGAAGGGTATTAGAGACAAATATATCGAATTTGTACAACAGGTACGTACGTTTCCTCCCGAGGTTTGTCCGGTCCCGTATTATACACTTAGGTACCTAGGTACCTAACCTACTTGCCACTGTGGTACCGCCCTTTCGACTTTGTCGGTAATACCCACTGAAGAGAATAAGAGGTAGGTTTGTCTATTGGCAAAAAAGGCCCCTTACTATATGTCTACTATGCCATAACTACCTAGGTACCTATGCATCAAACATCCCACCCATCCCTTATATAGAAACGACATGTTTCCAGAAGCAGGGGGACGACGTAAAGCCATTACCTAGCAGTGCGGGCAGCTTGAGTCGCTTCTCGGAGCTTCTGCTTTCGTTCCTCTAACTTTCTCTCGAATGCCGCTATCTTCTCTGCCTGCTTCTTTTCCTCCTCGGCATCCTTCACTGCCTTCTCTGCCTCCTTTCTCACCCTCTCGCGCTCGTTCTGATCTTGCCGGCGGATCGCGATGTCACGAGGGCGGAAGTCGCTAAAGATCCGTTTGAGGACCACCTCAATGACATAGCAAGCAGCGTAGTCAATTATCATAGTTGCGGTCATCGTGGTCTTGAATTCCTCCGTAAATTTCACAAGCTTCATCTGCTCATTGAGATCCGGGATTAATTCAGTCGAGCAAGCAAAAGCAATCCCAGTAACCGAGATGATGCCCCAATACATGCCACGGTTCTCAGATAGCGACTCCCTGAACGGCCTCCCCTGATAATTAACTGCAAAGGTAGAGATCTGTTGGATTAGTTGCAAGAGGTATACCGCGCTGTTCAGCAGCGATGGCTTGAACTCGGCTTCCAGATCAACCAATTCGGATCGTCTATAACACTGTCAGCAACATATTCCCAGGCAAGCAATATTCATTTCCGACAACTTACGGTTCTAGCCTCTCGCAGAATCGGGCGATATAAATCAGCGTCACAATGTGGACAGCAAACTGACCTAGGATCGAGCCGATGATATAGAAGTTGAATATGTTAGGCTGCGGTCTCTCTTTAGAAAGTCCTTCAACGGATTTTGCACGGGAAATCGACAGGAAACAGACGCTCATGAGCATTCCGCTGATAGTAATTTGCCCATCGCCAAACTTGATACCTTCGAGATAAAGGACACTAAGACTGTAGGCGCTAATGAGACAATTGAGGGCTAAAATCTTATACATTTGAATCGTGGCAACCAGGGTGCAACGACCTTGCCGAATAATGTTGGGGACAGCAATAACATTTCGCAACTTGCTAGTAAAAGGCGCGGCAACGGAGGCATCACCTAGCTTGAGAGTTGGTGGCTCATCGTCGCCGCCCAACTCCTGCTCCATCATTGCGGTTGTCATCTTATCGGCGAAACCGGCAGCCTTGTTGGCCGCCTCTCGTTGTTTAGCCGTTCTGGGGTCATGGTTCAAGAGCTGCTGAGCCGCTGGACTAGTTACAGTCTCAATGTTCGTGCCATTAAGCTTCGCAAGTTCTTCGACGGTGATGCCTCGCTTCTGTGCTTCCCTTTCCATCGCCTTTTCGTAGTGAGGGTTAGAAGGGCCAGGAGGGTACAAGTGAGCAATAATGGGTGGGACAGGAGGCGTAGGCTGGTTGAATCGTTTCATGAGGTCGATCTGTTTCTGGTAAAGTTCCTTCATCTTGGTGTTGCGTGAATGCTCTGCGATCCTTGTCAAGTCTTCCTGCGTACCGTTCAGAAGAGCAACACCGATGTGGGCCTGCTTTAGAGCCCCAACATCGTTGGTTCCGTCGCCAGCCATCAGTGTAAAGTAGCCCATATCCTTCAAACCCAAGAGGATTTCTTCTTTTTGCTTCGGGGACACACGAGCATACACCCAGGTGTGACGGAGCAGTGAACGCCAGGTATTTTTATTATCCTTGAACTTGGCCAGCGCATATCCGGTAACGCAAATGTCATTTGACTTGATGATCTCAGGGTCGATCGGTTTCGACGCGTCAACTTCAATATTGATCTTATCATCGACGCTACGCCAAACCAGCTTATGCCCTCCATGGTTTTGTTCCGGGGCATCCAGAATGAGTACATCGCGATCCACAATTTCGACCTCTCTCGCGACGTGTACAGCCGTAAGCGGGTTGTCTCCGGTGATCATGACGACACGATGGCTGCTCTCATTTAACATTTGTACAGCTTGCTTTGCATCATCTTTCAGAGGACACTGCAGAATCAAGAAACCAGCAAAGGTAAGATCGGCCTCCACTTGTTCACGCTTCAGATCGTTAATTTTGCCGGAGCCGAGCTCTTGATCGGATGTTAGCTGTTTGTAGGCGAGAGCAAGCACCCGGGAACCCCGCCGCGTAAAGTACTTATAGGTCTCTTCGTAATCCTTGGGGACGGAGACAAGCATCTTCATTATAGTTTCCGGGGCGCCCTTCACACTCACAAATGTACCGCGTATCTTATTGCCCGTCTTAGGATAGACAGCATTCACGGTAGCGACGGAACTCTGGCGTTTTAAAGCGGACGAGAATTGAAAACGGCGCTTAATTTGAACAACACCTGATGTACCTCCCGCGGCCGTAACGGAAGGCTTCGCGGCGAGAGTATCATTTTTCCCTAGACCCCAGCCGAGAGCCGTAAGCGTGGCTTTTTCCATAGGATCACCTACAATTTCGCCATCTTCAAGCTTAACAAGAGCATGAGCGCTGGCAAGCACGAGTGTTGTTTCCATTCCAGTATCTTTGACAGGGGTTAAACGGCTGTGGGCACCATCAGACTCGCGAGGGGTATCGGTGCCAGTATGGCCAAGTCCAAGTCCTGCGATACCTTCGACGACAAGGTCCTCTCCAGTCAGGGTACCGGTCTTGTCAAAGCAGGCTATGTCGATACGGCCGGCAAAGGGGATACGGAAAGGTTCGGTACAGAAGATGGCGAACTTGGCCAAGGCTGCCAAACTAGTATTGACTGCCAAGCTGAGTTCCATGGGAAGCTCGGGAGGCACAACACTGGTGACGATCAAAACACAGTCGAGAAGCAGCTTGGACCTCTTGCGGTCTTTCTTGACGCCTTCATCCCAGACATACCACGAAGCTGCCAACGCGAAAATGAGAAGAAAGAGAATAAAAAATAACGCCTCCGCATTGTTGGCGGAAACACGCTCCGTCGAATATATCATAGTGCGGACCAAACTACCCTGTGATGTCTCGAAGCCAGTCTTCATGACGATTGCCATAGCACCATTATCAGGAGGCGGTGGAACACCCGAAGCAAGCTTAGGCTTCTCCTCATCGGGATTACCATGCGTGACCTGCAAGACCTTGGTGCCACCCCAAAGGAATGCATTCTTGTCAAGCCCCTCGGTATCGATTGAAGCATCAGCAGGTCTAAGCTGTATCGAATCCTTCAGCAGGGGAGTGCTCTCTCCCGAAAGCATAGCTTCGTTGACGATAGCCGTACCTTCGACCAGAAGCATATCGCACGCCACACCGCTATCCTCTTTAGTTCGGCCAACGGAAACAAGGTCACCTGGAAGCAGCTTGTCGCTCTCGAGCTCAATCCACTTGCCTAATCGGTACACCCATATATCATACGGTTTGATACTCATGCCTCGGAATTCGGTCAAGGTACGTTGTCGTTGCCAGACCACAGTGCTCTCGAATGCGACAAGCATAAAAAGGGTAAACAGAGAATAATACCAGTACTCATCCAGCATCCAAAGACCAACGCAGAATACCTGGAAGACGAAGAAGGGAGCAACAGCATGCTCCCTGAAGAGCTCGGTGAAGGTGGGGACGGGAATGTCAAAAGTATTAGAGCCATAGTATTGCTCAAGTCTAGTAAGTTCAGCTTGAGAAGAGATACCGGTCGACTTCTGATATTTGCCGATCTTGGGTTTGGGTTCAGCATCGATCTCGTAGGACAAAGGACTAAAAGATTGCTGGGCAGGGTCGTAGAGAAAACGGCGCTTCTGGAATAGAAAGGAGAGATTTATCTTGTCGCCAACCTAGAACACGCAAACCGGTCAGCAAAGGTAGAGGGGAGCAACGCGAAGAGAACGAGGATATATGTACATACCTTATCGCGAGTAAGCTTGCAGATGTCGGCTGAGCCGGCATTGGCGACGGGGATGACCTTGATCAGCTCTGCATCTTGAATCCTGCTGGCTTTCCTCGCAGTGAAGAGAGCCCTGATATTGACGCTCCAGTTTGTGCTAAGCCAGGCCAAGCTTTGCAGAGTGATGATAGTACCACACCAGACGAAAGTCCATTCAGATGAGCCAATGTGCTTGGCGTATAGTTCGGGAGTGAGGAAATAGCGGGCAAATATAGGCCATATTATAGCAAATGGCGCGATATAAGCGTGAAGATAAAGAGGGAGCGGCTTGAGCAGTTCGGCGCTCTGAATCTGGGAATTGTCAACGAGAGCCATTATAACACCGGGCCTCTCGGTGTTCTCATAAGTCTCAAGAGACTTAAGAGATACAATAAATATATGACCCTTTATTCGACCTTCGTTCTTCTCCCTTATCACATCCGACGTTGAGTGTATTAAGAAAGAAGAAAAAAAAAAAAAGAGCAAAAGTGGAAAGGACAACAATATTTCGAATATTCGATGTACTTTGCACGGAAATTGTTGAACTCGGAAAATCGAGATGACGTGTGGCAACAGTCGATTATGACAAGTGTTGGCAACTGATTGAATGCCTTGCAGTTGCTGCACTGTGCATACAAGGTTTCCTGCAGGGTTAAAATTCCTTCGCTCCAGCGCACAGACGCCCAAATGTACCTAGGGCAGTTTCTTGTGCGACGACCTTTCCTTTCTCATACATCTACCCCAAGGTCATGTACCTAACTTAGGTCTTAGGTACCTACTAGGTATGTATATCATAGGTAGGAGGTAATCTTTCTTTTTCATCATTTGTTCCATTTCCAATTCATTAACACTCGCAAAATCACCTATCTTAGGTAATTTCTTTCTTTCCCATCTGGCCCCTTTATCAAACATCTCCTTATTTTCGATGATGATATCCGTATGGCACCTATGTTGTAGCGATAAACTCGTTGTTAAGACCGTCTGGCTCTTCGTATTGCTTCAAGGCTTCTTCCCCCTCGTTTTACAGATGCGCTTGTATGTTCTTCAAATCGCAACTCTCTCCCTACTCAGCTCTGGCCTCACGTAGACAACCGCTTTTCGTCTACCAACACCTCGATGCTGCTCCACGTCTCCATGACGCTAAGTAAAGATGCTTCGTCTTCAGGTTCGAGAGAGCCTTTGTATTTTGCCCGAATTCTACTGGGACGGTTCTAGACTTGAGACATTGATTGAACTGAACAATAATAGACGTTTCAGTGCTACAACTAGGTTAGGTACATTGGGTATGCAGAAAGATATGGTCCAACATGTAATCGTGATTTGATTGAAATCTGTACCAGGGATGGATGTCATAGCACGTTTAAAGTTTCCAACCTTACAGCTTCGTCCTTCGAGCCTCCTCTTAAGCTAACGTAGTTCTTCCCTGAAGCCAACAATACAGTTGTTGTATTGGTACTGATGTAATTTCCCGCGCTAGGGGGGAGACTGAGGCTAGCTCTTGGTACCTGATTAACCTCGACACTTAGCTCTACCGTCGTATTACCCATATTCGAGTAGGTGAGGACCAAAGAGGCCGGACCACCACGAGACAAAACTCCAGAGAAGGCCACGTTGCTATCCGTATTTAATCCTCCAACAACGGCTCCGTTAGCCGTGGCAGATGATCTATTATCAAAGATGACACGCGTGTCTTGCCCGGTAAGGTAAGCATCGACTGCGTGATAGGTCGGCCCAGAAATAGGCGGCGTCCAAACTTCTAGTTCGCAGATGCCGACCCAGAGGTGCGACGACTTCCGGTACAGGTTAACTGCTAAGAATTGTGTCTCAATTTGGCCGAACTTTATTTCATTACGGTCGTTTGGCAATAGACTAGAGGAGTCATTAATCGCAGCCAACAAACCCGTGGATCCGTATATTTCTATACGGGCCGGTACATCTACGCCTCCGCCTCTTGCAACGTCTGAAAACAACGCGAGGGTTACAGAAGAGATGTTTCTGGGTCGAGAAAATGTAATCGTGAGCGTGTCATTTAGATTTGGTGATCCGTAGTTTGTCCATCGATTATCGGGTATCGAGTCGTAAAATAGAACACCGTCAATGGCCTTAAATTGGAAGTCGCCGGAATTTGTATATGTCGCATCAGCTGTTGGGTACTGGCCAGGTCCAGCAGGATTCGCTAGGTATATCAGTCAGCTATGACCCTCACCATAATCGCTGGAATAAATCCAAACAATGCGCAATATGCAAACAATCCAGTCAGGGGGTTAAAACTCAAAGGATCAGTTAATACTAACCTGCAATGTTAATCAACGCATCGCCTGGTAGGATGGGCGGGGGGATAGGTATTGTAGCATGCTTCCCAGCACCATTATATACTTTATTGCCATCGACATAAACTGTCAATCCATGCCCAACTTTATATCTTGACCCAAATTTATCGTAGAGCACGGTCACTAGGTGTCCATGATAAGCCAGATTTTCGAGGGCAAAGTAAGTCCAATTCTTCGGGATGATAGGGGAGATCTTAAGTTTATCATCTTGCTGCGGTATGATACCGAGCAAGCCAGTAATAACATCGTCATTATTAGTCGAGTGGTCATAATGCTCTGAATGGTTCCAACCATCGGCACTCCAAGCATCCGAGAAGGGATAATGAGATTCTGCAATATAGGGGTGGCCGTCCTTCTGCTGAGTCCTGGCGTAAGTCTGCAGATACTGCAGGTACTGCTCTGCGGTAACATTCGTGGTTTTAGAACGATATATCGCAGCAAGTGACTTGAGGGTATGTCCCGTTGAATACGGCCAAGACATACCGTTCCAGTAACAGCCTATGAACAGTCAATAAGTTGTACGATTCTCGCTTGAGGGCTATACTATCAAGCGGGGATTCAGCCTACAGTAGTTGTCTGGCCTAGTAGCCATGAACCACGGATCTCTTATCTCTAAGGTTGTTGGGCCGTAAGGGGCTAAAAAACCTTCCGGATCAAACATAGCATCGATGGCTGGCTGTGCGTACGATTTGTCTAAGCCAATGCCGAATCGATATGGGAATAAGCCAACCTGTTCCCTTCCGGTGAGCCGTGTCAAGTTGGGATTGTTTGGCCGAATAATATCCATGAAAAACTTCTGCTCGGGAGCCCACATCCTCTCGTACATGGCCTCTTCGAGGCTGTCGGCCAAAATGGTAAACTGTGCTTCACGAAACCCGTCGCGGGCTAGATGAGCGGCGCGAGCTATTGCTTTAGCATTTGCCACCATATAAGCATTATGGCTAGGCCTGAAGGTATCTGGACCATCCTTCCTGAGGGTCCAATCAGTGCCATTAGGATCGGCAATAAAACCAGGTAGAGATAATTCTTGGGCATCCCAGACTGGTTGATAGTAATATAAACCAGCTGCCCCGTCGTAGACTTCATCCCATTCATGCCATATGCGGATCATATCATCGAGCTGAGCGGCGAGAAACTGGGTGTCACCGGTCACCATAGCGCGGCGACTCGCGGCATCGAGGATCCATTGGGTATACTGCAGCGCATCGGCTGGGCCACGAGTATAGAGATAAATATAGTCATCGCCATAGAAGGTATCTCTCAGCCATCTTGACTCGTCAATCTGGTGGCCAGCAGCGGCATCGATAGAACCAAAAGCCTTGGCGTAGCCTACTGGTTGAACAAACTCGGTACACATGTAACCGGTTCCAGCCTTGATGTAACGAAGGTTACGCTGAATGGTCGTCCACCTATAATAGTAGACATCCTCGATAAGGGAATCAGGGATATCAATAAAAGGGATGTTATGTCTTAAGAATGATTTGCCAGCAAACGCGCTAATAGGGGTCTCATGATCTAAGAATGAAGTACCCCTTATATTTTCAAGCTGAGGTTGCGGAGATGCTCGTCGTTGGGCGAGGGTATAGGCGAGCAAATAAAATACACCAATGGCGGATATCAGAGCAGAAACCTTGAGAAGAAAGTAATCGGCAGCGGACGGCCCGCGATTCGGTTTCCTCCTCGGTACATATTCCTTGCCGTGATGCGCGGGCAACCAATCGGCTTGCTCTTTAAGTTCAGAGCTCTTTAAATCAGTTGCCCCGAAGGTGTTATAAGACTGCGGTGCCATTTCGAGATCAATAGATGCAATTTGGTACCATTAAGACTCTGGTTAGACTTTGGTAGGCTCGGGTAACGCAGGTACCAAGGTAGAGTTACCTTGCGATGCGACCTATCGAAGCTGCATAGGTTGGAGCGATACCGGTTGACAGCAGCAAAAGATGCGACCGATTAGACACGATCTGTATATTGAATAAGTGTTGACGTAATATTAATCGATCTAATTGCCGGGAAGATATAGGGTTGCAGGTCGTGCATATGTGTATACCGAATTCTAATATAAGTTGTTGTATAAGTGAGTTCACCGGTAAACAACGGACCTGCGACGTCACTGAATCCAGGGGGGGGAATCCAGAGGAAGGATTTTCTCCAGATTAAGACCCCCGGCAATGGCTAAGACGACGGGAGGAACCTTACCGGATTATGCAATATAGAATTTACCTTTTTGGTCTCAGATAGTCAGACCAATATCCTTAAAGTAGTGTATAAAAAAAATGAGAAATGAATATTAGAAGTTTAGAAAACGTACCTCCCCAAGTACTGTACCTTGATATGAAAAGATCTGCGTGAGCCGAACCGATTTGGTATTTAATTCTTTGACGATCATTCCGGGGTATGTTTAATAGGGATACCAACACCATCTTTATCTACATTTCCCTGCCTTATACTTCCTGTTCATGTCAACTACCTACCTAAGAAAGTGGTAGGTAGCTAAGAAGAACAGTCCCATGTGGCCTGCATAATATAGTCACGCGCATAAACGTCATAGGAGTGACCCGTCCGCGTGTCTGGGAAATATGTCGCCTTGAAATTTCAATAGGCGGCCATCATGACCTAGGTCAGGTAGAAAAGCCGCCCGGTGATCTTTGCCAGCAGCGCGGACAAAACCAGAGCGTTCTTCGATTAAGACGTAATCGAAACCAGGTTACATTGTTCTAGGCCCTCTGTTCGATTATGGCAACTTCCCTGTTTGGCCTGTGTAAAAGAGAGTGTGTTATTATTACCTTATTACAAATAGGTATCGTTGGTTTCCTTTATTTATGAAAATGTATTAACTTAGAGTTTGAGGGGTTTCAACGGTACCTTACCTGGTACGAAGTACATAATAAAGTATGAATGATGTACCTAGGTACCTAAGGTAATTGTGCCCGGTGGGTCCATCTGCAAACTTCAAGGTTCAAGGTTCTTACAACCTTAGGTACCTACCTGGTAGTTAGGTACCTGTACCTTACCTAATGTATAATACATCGTACCTACAGATACCTCGGTACAATATACGTCGGCGTGTGTCATCTCTCAATTCCAAATATCTATTGGAACCTTTTCGATCTTGAGAGCGATCACATTATACCCGTCCCAGCAAACGGCCTCGTCATAAGGGGACATCATATCTCTCCAGTCAACGCCATTTGGTTCATTTCAAAGTAGCTTGCCATGTCAGCGTTCCAACTATCAAAGCTACTTCCTCTACCAGAGGCCGAACTGAAGCAAGTCATAGACTATGCGACGACGCTCTCCAAGCCAGAGGCCGCAGAGCATTTTCGGAATTTACTCGGCGAGTCTCCTGAATCTATCGACTTCATAGCTTCCTTCAATTCGAAGAGGCAAGATCCCAAAGCTTGCAGTGCGTTATCAAACAGATCTTCGCACATCGAACCGGTGCCAAAGCCGGTGAGAGCACCTAAGAAACCAAAGCCTCAGTTGCACACTCCCGCTCCTCGTCAAGTCACCAACCAGGGCCCTGTTCCAGGGACCGTCTACAACAAGGATATTGAAAGTGATTACATTGTTCAACGTCCTAGCCCGGCCGCAGCGTCAGCTGGATCGGGGTCAAGAAAGAAGCCTCCGGCTCAGAAATCAGCTACTCCCCCGCCGCTAAAGCTACCTCCCTCTGCTGCAGGTCAACTGATATCAGATGTCCGGAAACCCAAGCCAAAATCCACGCCTGCTTCACGCTCCTCCACACCAGCACCAAAGGCCAAAATTCACATCTCGGGCGGCACTGCCATGCATGGCGCATCTACAGCTCTGTCAGACCTAGACAACGCCATCCGACTCCTTGAAACCGCTACCAATCCTACTCTGGGGACAGACGACTCAGCGCGGAAATGTAACTGTGTCGCAGCTAGACATCCTTTGCTAGCTGCCGCGCCTAATTGCGTGAATTGTGGCAAAGTCATATGTGTGAAAGAAGGCCTGGGACCTTGTACCTTCTGTGGCACGCCCCTTCTGAGCCCGGTTGAAATACAGCTAATGATACGAGAACTACGCGAGGAGAGGGGCCGAGAAAAAATGGCTGCAGATCGTGAGGCTCATAAAAAGGCCGACGTTTCAAGGACTCCAGCCCCTTTCTCAAACCCCAAGGAAACTCTCGGAGAGACTAGCGAAGCACAAGCAAAGGCACTAGAGCATAGGGATCGTCTATTAGGGTTCCAGGCCCAGAATGCACGCCGAACAACCGTCAGAGACGAAGCTGCTGACTTTGATGTCAGTGGAGCAATGACAGGATTCGGCGGTAATATTTGGGCCACCCCTGAAGAAAGAGCTCGAGAATTGAAACGCCAGCAAAAGATATTAAGAGAGATAGAATGGAATGCTCGCCCAGACTACGAGAAACGACGGCAAGTCATTAGTATCGATGTAGTAGGCGGTAAGGTAGTTAGAAAGATGGCCGCCGTCGAGCGACCAGAAAGCCCTGAAGACGACGATATGCAGACATATGCAGCCCCACAGGAAGTCAAAAATACCGACCATGATAATACCAACAAAGGGAACGAGGCTGGCGGTGCTTTCAGCAAAAACCCATTACTAGGTTCGCTAATCAAGCCAGTTTTTGATGTCAGGGGTAAAGGGACTAAGCTAGAAGGTCGTGATTCTAAAGCGACTCGGTGGAGGAGAGTGCAAGATGATCTAGACGACAACGAAGTTGTCATCCTTGATGGCGGAGCGCATGGAAGTAGGCCCGGCCAAGAAACGACAAGTAATCCCGTCGTAGATGAGCCTTCCTGTGGCTAACATCGTCTCAGGTTAGGAAATTTAATCGGAGTGGGAAACAAATTTAATACTTAAGTAATCGGTGCTAAGTTAAGAATACTGTAAAGGAATGTGAAACGCGTTCATTGGTATAGGTAGTGTCACCTCGAACGACCATTGCTACGCCTAACTTGAATAACGAAGACGAGTCCATATACGGATCTGTGGCCATATTTCCATTGGTATCTCCCTAGCCTCGTCAATCCATCAACCCAAACATTACCTCCTTAGAAGCCTGCCGGGTAGTACTTCCAAGGCATGTTTCCCTCTATTGCTTGTAACTGAAGCTGCCGTGCTCAACGATGACATGAAGAAACCGATGGCGGCCACGCATCCATAGAACGATTGGCACAACGCTACAAAACGTACTGAATGGTATTAGAATTATAATTCCATCGTCATGCCCGGCGTTATCGACAATGCCGTCTGCGCCCAAGTCGTCATAATTACGCCGCAATTTCATCTTGGAACAAAGGTTGAAACTAAGCAGCAGCTTTCTCCGGCTCCTTGCCCTCGGCAGTACCATTCTCTGTAGCTGTGCCATTCACCTTAGGTACCGCGGCCGCCTTCAACTGATTGACTTCCCGTTCGAGGATCTCGACCTTTTCAGCGGCCTGATTCTTTTCGGATTCTAGACGAGTAATGGCGGCTTGGGCTTCTTCCAGCTTGGCATTCAGATCCAACCGGGTTTTTTCATCTTCCTGCTTTTCAGACCGGAGTTCGTTGATCTTACTCTCGAGAGTATTCTTCTCCTAAGACAATAAGTTAGCTTCTATTGCAACTAAAGAAATGGCTAGAATATGAGTGCTGCCTACAGATTCAGCTGCCTTGAGGTCCTCTTCGGCCTTAGCGGCCTTAACATTAGCCTCCTCAGCCTTGGCTTCGAGGCTGGTAATCTCGCCGGCTTGTTTATCGTGCTGCTTCTGCAACTGCTCTCGTTCACTCTGGGAGGATTCCAACTTGCTCTGCAAATCAGATGCTTCTCGTTTTTGCTTTTCGAGCGCAGCAGCTTGTTCATCATGCTGTGCTTGCAGCTTCTCACGCTCATCAGCGGCGGCTTTAATCTTCTCTTGTAACTCAGCCGCTTCTTGCTTCGCCTTTTCAAGCGTAGAAGTTTGTTCGTCATACTTTAACTTTAACTCGGTCGCCTCTTGCTTCGCCTTTTCGAGTGTAGAAGTTTGCTCGTCATACTGTGCCTGTAACTCAGCCGCTTCTTGTTTCGACTTTTCGAGTATAGATGTTTGTTCGTCGTACCGCGCCTGTAACTCAGTCGCTTCTTGTTTCACCTTTTCGAGCGTAGAAGTTTGTTCGTCATGCTGTGCTTGTAACTTCTCACGCTCATCTTCGGTGGCCTTGAACTTCTGTTGCAAATCCGTGGATTCTTGCTTCGCTTGTTCAAGCTCAACCGCCTGCGCCTCCAGCTGCTTCTGTAGCGTCTCGGCCTCATCCTGAAGCGATTTTAATTTGGTCTCCAGTTCACCCGCCTGTTTTTGGGTATTTTCAAGCTCCACAGCGTGCTCTGCCTTGAGCTTGTTCTGGCTCTCCTCCAGAGCGGCAATATTTTGCTGCAGCTTTTCTGCATCGTCACGTAGTCGCGCCAACTCGGCTTCGTGAGCTTGCTCAAGCGATTGCTTTTTTTCTTCTGCATCGGCTAAGCTCTTCTTAGCATCTTCTACCTCCTTGGTGAGGCTCTCGTATTGCTCCAGCAGGGATCCGTGCTTTTGCCTCCATTCCGCCGCATCCTTTTCGACCCCGGCAACCTTCTCGCTAGATTCTGTCTGTAACTGGGCATGAGCTTGTTGCAATTCATCGTGCTTCTGTTGCGTCTCGCTTAGAGTTTCCTTTGCTAGGGCAATTTCCTCGTCAGATGCCTTCTTGAGCTCGTCGTACGTCTGCTCGAGAGCCTTGAGGTCGTCCAGTGACTTAGCAAGGTTCTCCTCCAGTTCATTTATGCGGGCCTTTGTGGACTCGAGCTCTTCGGTAAGTTTGTCGTGGTCGCTCTGTAGAGACTCGTGCTTTTTGGTCGAGGTAAGCAATTGCTCTTTTACGCCAGCCAGCTCCTCCTTCAGCGAAGCCTCAAGGGAGTTTCGCTGCTCGATAGCATCAGCCAATTCCCTCTTGACAGCTGACAGTTCTTCGCTCAGGGAGTTCTTCTCCTGCTGTAAAGCATTAACCTCCTCCTGCTTCTTGGCGAGCTCAGCGCGTTTCTCCTCGAGCTCCTGGGCTTTGGCAGAGGCGGACTCCTCGAGAGTGCGACGCACCGAAGCTGAGTCGTCAGATGTTTGCTTCAGCTCATTTTGGAGTTTGTCGGCTTGTTCCTGGTTTTCTTGCTTCAACCATGTGGACTGCGCTTCCAATTCGTCGACCTTCTTGCGTAGAGTCTCTGCCTCCTCGGTGGCTTTGTTGAGTTCTTCTTTAGCCTCCGAGAGCTCCTCCTCCTTCTTGGCCAGGTCCTTCTCGAGCTTAGTAATGCTCTCGTCTCTCTCGGTAATTTTCTTCTCTATGGCTTCTCTTTCTTCTTTGGCGAGAGCGGCGGCACTAGAGAAGGTGGAAAGTATGTTACCCATCTCGTACTAAGCTTTTTTTTTGGGTCCTCTTTACAAGCGAGGCGAAAGGAATTGAGGTTGCAAAAGGGTGTTCCGCGGGGAAGCGTGGTGTAAATAGGAAGGAAAATTAGGATGAAATGCAACGACTTTTTACAAAATGAATGCTTGCTTTGGTAGGGTATCCGACAGCAATCAATCAAGTAACAGAATTGAAATGCTATGTATCAATTAGACAAATCGTTCAATCATTCATTCCGTCGCATGCATAAAATGAGATGTTGGGAGGGGAAAGGGAAAAAAAATTACGATAGGTTCTAGTGGTTGCAATGGGGAAAGTATTTGGTAGAAACTCGGCTAACTGACTAGAGAAAGGTCCTGCACGTTGATGTAACATCCAATTAAAAGAAAATATTTTCATGCGAGGAAGGGTTTTATGTCCCGCGGTTCCGTATTAAACGTAAAAGTACGAATAATAAGAAATTTTAAAATAAATTAATTATTTTAAATTTAGAAAAAATTATTATTATTTAATTTTTAAAAATATTATATTAAAATATAATAAAAAAATAATTTAAATAAAAATTAAAAAAAAATTAAAAATTAAAAAAATATATTAAAAAAATATTTTTAAAAATTTTATTTATTTATAAAACTTTACATTAATTAATATTGAATTAAAATTAATTCTTTTATTATTTTTATAAAAATGTTTATAATTTAATTTATTTTAAAATAATTTTATATATTATTAAATTGTTTTAAATTTTTTTTAATATTTAATAATATTTATGTAATTAATAATATATATATTAATAAGTATAACGTAAACCACGAGTTAATAATTTACACGAGTTAATAATTTATAATTTTATATTTTTTTAATTAAAATTATTATAATTTAATTATAATATATTAAATTAATTAATTATATAATTAATTTTTATTATTAAAGCTTTTTATTTTAATTTATATTTTTGTAAATGTTATAATATTAAAGCATTTAATAATATTTATTTAAAAGATTATTTTATTATAAATTAATATTAAACGTAAAAAAAAATTAATTTAAAATGTTTAAAAACGGGCTTTTAAATACACGAAGTATTAAATGAACTTTAAAAAGTATAATTAACATCGTTAAATTTATTAAATTAATTAAATTTACGAAATCATATTTAATTATTTATTTAAATTTTTTAATTATTATTTTTAATTTTATATTTAATTTATATTATTATTATTTATTTAAAAATTAAAACTTATTAGTATTATATTTTAATAATTTTTGAATTAATACTATTACCAGTTAAATATAATATAAATGTTAACCTTTATAATACCTTTTTACCTTTTTAAATAATATATAATTTATTACTTTTAAAATATTTTTTAAAAAATATTAATTAAATAAAATATAATATTAACGAATTAAGTTTACCATCTTTTAATTATATTTTAAAATTAATAAATAAAATCGTTTTAATTAAAATTAAATTTTAAATAAAAATATCTTAAATTGAATTATTAAAGAAAAAAAATAAAAAAGAATTAAAGTAATTAATAATAGAAAGAAATGCTTAAAATAATAATAATAATAATAGAGTTTAAATTTAATAAAAATTAATTAAAGCTTAATAAACCTATTAAAATCTTAAAAATAAAATTGCAACTTTATAAAGTAAATTAATTAAATTTTATTTAACTTTTTATTAAATTAATTTTAGTAAAAATAAACGTAAAGTCTTAATAATTTATTAATATTTTAAAAAAATACTTTTATATAATTTTAATTAATTTTAAAAAATTATTTAAATATAATTTAAAAAGAACTGGAAAAGTTAAAATATATTTTTAATAAATATAAAAACTTTGAAAATAAGATGCAATTAATATTTGAAAATTTATTTAAAAAATATATATATATAAAGCCATTTAAAGTCTTAAATAAATTAAAAAGGTTTTTAAATATATTATTAAGTTTAAACGTTTAACAGTAATAATTTAACTTTTAAAAAATTAATAATATAAGTAAAGAATAAAATATTAAAAGAGAAAGGTTTAAATATATTAATAATTATATCTAATAAATTATTATTTATAATAAGAATTTATGTAAAATATTTTTAACAAGAAAACTAAAAAGAAACCTTTTATTTAAATATATAAAGAACTTAAAAAGATAAACCTTAATATTATTAAATTAAAAAAAGGTTAAAAAAATAAAAAATAAGTTCCTATTATAATAATACTTATTTTTAATTAATATTAAAAAAAATTAAAAGTTTCACAAAAATTATTTATAAAATGTCTTAAATTATTAAAAAGAATAATATAATTATTTAATAAAAGAAAACTAACGTAAATTACGGGTTAATAATTTACAGGGTTAATGGTTTATATATACAATTAAAATAACACATATATTTTAATAATACATTATTTAATTAATTTATAATGTATTATAATAAAAAAGAAATTAAATTAAACTTTATGTTTTATACTTTTTAATAAAATTATATAATATTTTTTTGGTATATTATGCGGTTGTATTAACGGTTATTAATAATGTAAATTTATAATGTTATTACATAAAGAATTAATTTTTTAAAAAAAGGATATTATTATTAAATATATTATTAAGTTA